TTGCTGGCAATCTCATCTTTTGATACAAGCCTAGCAACTGAAGCGAAAAGCTCGAGTGCGACCTTGAACTCAAGTTCCTTGATCTTCTCTCTGACGAGCTCTCTTATTCGAGGCCGGTGCTCAATTGTGGCAGGCGCGGCAACTTTTGGCATTGCCGGCACGGAAAACTTTTGGGAAGTGGCTGGAATAATTTCCCAAACATTGCCTACGAGCTTTGCAGTTGCAGGAGGGCGTTGAGTTGCCTCAAGCCGGGCTGGTGAAGACTTCTTCTTTTTGCCCTTGCTGCCAGACGAAGATGCTGGCTTTTCCTCCTGCTCCTTGGCTGCTTTCTTTGCTTCTTCCTCGATGATCAACTTCCTATCTTGGGGTCCTAACATCTTCCACAATTCTGAGTCGATCCCCTCCGGACGCTTTGAACCTTTATAGTTACGTACGATCCGGTGACCATCCCAATGATGTCCGTCTGGAATTATTTCACCTTTAGGGGTCAATTTGAGATCTGGAAATACGGGCGCTTCGGGTGCATCAGGCTCGACATCGCTGTCGGCTGGTAGAGGCGTACCTGGCTCGTATTCATACTCATCTTGTGGCGGATGCAACCTGGACTCAAGAGGCACAGCTTTGGGTGTCTGCGGAATAACCTGGTCCTCGAGGCGATCGGCTTTGGGTGCTTTCGAGTCAATCAGAGCTTTCAAAGGAAAGATGAAACCCTCGGATGGCAATTCCAACCTCTTTGTTCTTTGGATTGTCAGTGCACCCCAGTTGACATGATAATCTGCAGCTTCCAACTTGGCAACTAAGTATTCACCCTTCCAATCATGACCTGGTTGGATGTAATACCCAAGGAAAATTCCTTCATTTGCTGTTGGGGAGAGCTTACCTGATGTGTTATCCAACCTCTTGGGGTTATTCCAGAATAACACTTTAGCACCAAATGGAATGTGCATTGCAGGGAACTCTTCACCAAACCTGAGTTGCCATGGGGATTCACTGCCGTCAAGCTGGGGGCTTGCATTGATCGCGGTCGCATGATGCTGCATGGCCAATGGCCACATCTTCAAAGGAAGTCCTGATTGCAACAAGTTGCTCCGGGCACCTTCCAACATCTGACGAACTTCGCGCTCAGCAAAAGACTTTGATGAATCTACATATTCAATGGAAGTTTGGTGTCTGTAACCCAAATCCTTGATGGCCCTGATCAATTCTGGGGAATTGTCAGTGTACACAACTTGAACATCATCCTTTGATCCAATGAAGTGATTCAAACCATCAACACAGCTTTGTGAGTCCTTGGACTGGCTAGGGTAGACATACCGATATTGGGTGTGCAGATCTTTCAACACCAATGCGACTTGCTCCCCCCTGAAACCCTCTTCTACGTTTTTCTTGATGATGACATGATCCCCAATGACATGGTCACCGAACACTTCAGTTTCGATTCTCTTCTGACCACCTTTCTTTCGTGCCTGAGGTGCCATCATCCTTGCTCGTTGGCAGGTTCTGCAAAAGGGGTTCTTGGGGAAATGCGTGTACTGATGTTGGGTACTTGCAGCTTCAGCCAATAGGTCCTCAGTCTTGCGGCTTCGGATGTACTCCTGCTGAGCGTCATCCTCCACCAGCTCATCCAATTGCTCATCTTGGGCTTCGTCCCGTTTGGCTTTTGAGCTCGACCGTGAGGTCGGCATTGCAAACAACTTTCTGAGGTGCTTATCCTTTTGAAATTGATCTTTGGGATAAACCTTGCAACTATCATCCAAAACTGGGACGTGACCTTCAATCTTGAGCTGGACGACCTTGTCATCTGGACGGACTAGGATTGGTTTGCCATTGGCAGGCCATACGAAACTGTAACCCTGATCTACACATCTCGTTCCTACGGAGAGCACAGCTGGGGTATGATCAAGTACATACGGGTGCACGGGATCTGGCAATGCGGACAACTTGACATCAGCAACCTCGTTTGCCTCGGTCGAACCATTGGCTGTGACTAAGGAAATCGGATGCTCGGCTGCACGGCAGTTCTTGGCACTAACATCCCTCAGCATTCCTTTGGACACAAGATCGGATTCACTACCTGAGTCGACAAGCCAACTAACACCGGCCTTTGGCGCGGCTGTGGCAATTGACGGGAATCGACCAATGTCTCTAAGAGCTTTGGGACCGCTAATGAACCTGCACTCTTTGCATGTGATGTCACGTGTGTCCTCATTCCAACAACAAAACCCACAACTAGGTGCAACATCTGAATCATGAAGTTTCACAGTTTCCTGAAGCTGTCTTGCACGAACCTGAGCCTCATGCTGTTCAACCTTGGATGAAACCGGAACATCTTCAGCTGTCTTGTACACCTCAGTGAACTCTCTTGGACGGTGCTTGACTGGGACTTGACGACCAACTGCCTTCACCTCGATCACATGTGGGGCCTTTCGGAATCTAAGGCGCTTCATGCTGACACTTGACTCATCGGAGCACGAAGTTGCCTTCGGCTGTTTTCGCACGATGCATGCAAACTTCTGGATCAGGCATGGAGCGGCTGTGGAATCCTTGCTCTTCTTTTTGGGAGCGGGTGAATTGGCCCTTTTGGTGTCTTTGGTGGCGGCAGCAGCTTTGTCGTCATGCTTATAAAAACATTTGTCACCACGTCTGCACTTTCCCTGGGCATGATAGATACATGGGGTTTTGGCCATTTCTTCCTTGGACATTTTCTTCCCCTTATCATCTTTATTGCCCCTTGATGGTGAACGTGTTTTGGTTCTTCTGGGTGATTGAGTTCGAGATTTGTCATCCTTGACATGCTTGAATGGACATTTCTTCCCCTTATCACAGGTACCCTTTTGGAACTTATAGCAAATCTTGTCACCTTTGCCACCTCGTTCCTGCGATCTACCACGACTTGGGGAACCCTTTCGGCCACCGCGACCATCGCCTTTGGCAGGTGCAGCCTTTGTGTCCTTGATCCCAGCCTTGTTCTTCTCCGCGATGCGGTTCCTGTTCTCCCTCAATCGTTCACGATCGATCAAGTTCTTCATGGATTGGTGAAGAAAACTATAAGACTTTTCATGGGATTTCTCATGAGCACGGTCAAACATCTCAATGTCATACTTCAGCAACTGACTTGGTCGGATCTGCCTCAACAAGATGTCCCTTAACACAGCATCATCGGGGGTGACAGCCATGCCAGCTAGGGTAGCATCCCATTTGTTGATGAATCTTCGGAGATCCTGGACAGTATCGCCTACTTTGACAACACCCAAAAGATCTTCTACTCTGTAAAGGCTACCTGCTTCTTCTGATGTCTTGAAGTAGTCCTCAAACATGAGCAGAACATACCTTCCCCTGACCTGGATGCCTTTTCGGGATTGCTGCTCCTTGAAATTCAAGATCCTAGTTGCGAGGTCCCCTCCGGCTGAGCGCGTGAGCGCTGCTGATAACTTTGTATCCAGCGTGAGGAACTTTCCAGGATCTTGGAGTTTCTTCTCCAACTGCTCTCTGGTGCACTCTTGATCGTACACCTCATTGAGCCAGAGCCACGCCTCATCCGGGCGATCTGAACAGCTTTTCACTTCATCCCTGACATGATTCTTCCAAGTCCTATACGACTCCGGAGCGGGCATGTTGTTCAGCTTGATGAGTTCGGCCTCCTTAGTTTTTGGCTTATCCTTTTCTTCCCTTTGGGTTAAGGCTTTCACCAATTCAATAAGATCTGAGGGACCCATAACTTGCTGTTGCTTGGTTACGCTCTTGGGGGAGTCATTTGGGGGAGTTTTGATAGCTTCAGTGGGAGTGAAAAACCCTGACTGCGTTGGCAATTGAGGCTGGTCGTTGCCGACAGCCGGCTTTTGCTTGGGACTGCCACCTTTGAGCAGCTCATCCAACTTGGCCTTTGCTTCTTGCGCCAACACTGCAGGCGTCTTCAACTCATGAATCGGCTCGTCACTGCCTTTGGCAGCCTGTGCATCGGATGCTTTGGGAGTGGCAATATTGAAGTGAGGCACGCTAGTGGTAGCGGCTGGCTCGGCATTCAGGGCGGATGCTCTCGGAACGGAAGCATGCTGCGCTTTGGCAACATGCTTTAACTGCTCCTGAAGGTCATCGATTTGGTCCTGAAGGCTAAGGTTCTGAGCCGCTGCCTCATTGATCTTGTCGGCCATCTCCTTCTTGTAGTTCTCGAACTCAGTCCTCAAACTGATGAACCTGGCCTGATCAATTGCAGCCTGATCTTCATATTGCTTCTTTGTGGCAGCTATGGCATTCTTTGCATGTTCAACTGTCTGTGCATAAGAAGCTTCGAATTCACTAGTGATACGTTGCCTTTCCTCTGCAATTCTCTGATCATGCTTTGTGTTTGCCTCTGCCTTTACATCCTCTATTCTTTTGTCATTCGATGCCTGAGCCTGATTCAACCTGACCTCCATCTCATCGCCTCGTTTCCTCTCCTCGTTGACGGCACTAATGGCCTTACCTTCAATCTCCTGCAGCCTTTGCTCATACTCCTGCTCCTGCATTACGAGTCTACTTGACCATTCGTTTCGAATTGAGTCAACTACTCCATGCATTATCTGAAGGTGCCTCTGTTCAGCTTCCCTCATGACTTGCAGGGTATTCCCACTAGTAATCTGGGACAGGTTGTTTTGTATGAAGGTAAAGTACGCGACAACGGGTTGGAACATTGTTTCGTCATCCATCGGCTCGGGGTTGCCCCCGGCCACATTGGGCACAGCGACAGCCGATGGACCTGACCCTGGAACGGCGAGAGGATGGTCAATTGGGGTCCCCATAGCAAAGTAGTGAGACTACGGCTGATAACCTGTATTTTACCAGGTCAACCGGAAATGGGGATAAATACAACAAACCGTTAAGCGGTCAGCACTGTTTTGAACCAACGCTACAGAGTAGATCGATGATATATACACTACATGGTTTTACTGCAGGAGTTTTTACAGTTTCTTTGCAGCAGTTTGGCGAAGCAACTGCAGTTTTGTCTCTGGATTCCTACCGGCCTTGGTGTCTGCCAGATATATCCCTTGGAAAATTTTGGCAATGTCCCGCAAGTTGAAGAGGTAGTGGCACTTCTCTGGCGTCGGCAGAAATCCTCGTGGGGCAAATGGGGCAAATCAGCTGGGTCCGTGCTGGGCTGTCCGTGAGACGCCGTTGCAAGGCCGAGAAGCCGTCGATCACTTGGGTATAGATGTTGATGGTGGTCATGGTCAAAGGCTCAGAAAGAGCTTTTACATCTTCGTTACTGAAGCCGTTGAGCTTGTTGCCTGCCACAAGCTGTGTTAACATTGTCAACTGAGCCATCCATCCTTGTTGGACAGGAATGACACAGGAACATCAACTTGCTTTTATTTAGCTTGCCAAGCTGCTTGCCAAAGTCATAAAAATGCGCTTGATCTGGCTGTCAGCAGGATTGACCTCGGGGTTTTCAGCACAAAATCTGCGAGATCAACTGTGGCCTGGATTTTTTTTTAGCCATTGAAAAGACAAGTCACGAAGCAAAGATTATTGGCAGCACTCTGCAAGCGCGCCGAAATCACTGCACGGCCACCACCTAGGTATTTCGATGTTTAAGGCATGACCGATTGGATGGCTTAAATATGCTTCAATGATTGATGTTGCCAATGCATTGAATCTCTTGGCTTAGCACCAGGTGGACCCATCGCAGAGACCATGTGAATGCCCTCTACATACCTGGCTGACTATTGTCATGCAGATCTGGACAAAGACTCTCATGGTACTTTAAGTATCTTTAAGTGACTATCAAATCTATCAACTTGCCGCAGATGTCCAAGGGAGAGGTCTTTTTTTTGTTTGGCTTCACGGCTTTGTCAGAGATTCTCAGGATTCGAGTGACGACTAGAGGCGGCCTCAGGGTTTGCTTCTGCCGATCATACCAGCAGCCATAGTCGATCCACTGACGCAGCAGTTCCAGAGGAGGCTGCGAGCCAAACAAGTCCTTCCTGACCGAATCAAAATGGTGAAATGAGGTTCCCTTAAATATAGGTACCCCAAAATCATGTAGGATTTTTCATTATAAACCATCCAGCTATTGGGGTACCCCCACTTATGTGGAAACCTCCGAAATTGTCAAAGTCAGTACGAGTATCTTTGAATGTGCTCACGACCTTCCGCAAAAAAAACATATTCAGATTCAATTTATATATACAGTAACCCCCAAAAAGATAGAAAGTGTTTCCAGGATAGTATAGATGGTATTTACCTCCATCATTTCCAGGTGTCCAACTTTTCTATCTATGACTTGGGGTTGCTATATGACATGTTATTCCAACATATAATGATGAGACCATGAGGCCATGCCGCAGTCCTAGGCATGTTCAGGTCATCCACAAACATCAGCATTCGCTTGTTGCCAGCCTAGATGGTTTTTCGGCGAATGAGGGCATCGCGGCATCGCTGATTGAATCTCTTTAAATGACCCTACCCCGTGTCCATCCTGTTGACTGGGCAACCTCCAGAGTATCCAAACAATTCCTCATAGTTGTAAGCTGTTCATCTTCATCCAAATCTTTCTTTTTTCCTGCAAAGTTCCTGTTTGCAACCAGCCAAGTGATGAACCCTCAGCAAGTTTGTGGTGAAATCATGTGAAATCATGTGAAATCTCGCCAAGTGTCGGGACCAAACTTGTTTTTGATGCGCTTTTCGATCTTGCTCTCAATGATTTCTTGCGTCTTGCCTCAAACCGCAGTTCCCGGTTGAACATCCGGTTGAACATCCGGTCAGCCGCTGAGGCCACCGGTTGGTCAACCTTATTACCAGCCCAGTCCAGCCTGAAGAGGTCATAGCAGACATGTTGATGGTCAAAGATGTCCACGCAGAATCTTCAAGGCCCTGAATCGCCTGATGCGACGCGATTTTAGCAGGAGGGAAAATTTCACCCTCTGATCATCGAACATAGCGATGGACAATCACCATGTTCAATAGCTAAAATCATCACTGGGTCATTTTCCCTGACTTTCCTCATGCTGGAGGATACAGTGTGCCACACATTTTTCTCAACTGTGTCTGCAAGGGTTTCTCAACTGTGTTTGCACGTCATGTTGGCTTCCGAAAGCCTCCTGAACTGCGATGGTCTTGCCAGTGCCAGTGCAGCCCACCAAAAGACTATGGAAGTGCTTGGCATTGAGCTGCTTCAAAATGAACATGTTTCCTACGTGTCGGCAAAGAAAATTAAAAAGAAAACAGCAACTAGCAAAACAGAATGCCACCACATTGCTTCAGGAAATTGCAGTGCTTCAAGAAATTCGGATGTGGAGACATTCAACATATTCAACTGTTGAGAATCCTGATGAATCCTGTGTGTTGATATGTGTTGTTAATTGAAAAATCAGGAAGTGGATCACCATGGATCACCTGTTGGCAACTCTAAGCCCTGATGGATCTGCCGCCGTGGCGGGGATTTGATGCGGTTGCGGTCGTGACGCAAACAGGGCACTGATGGTGTCTGTCGTCGGCACCACAATCTTGTGGAAAGGCATGCCTTCCTCAGCGCAGGGCGCGAGGGTGGGAGGTTTCCGTGCCACATAGCCTCTGGATCCCTCTGGTAATTTCATAGTTTGCTATGGAAAATCACCACATTGAAGAGGCAAATCGATCATCGAACTTTATCAATGGGCGATTTTCCATGCCTGATTAAAGCTGAGCATCTCCAGGCTTGAAGGGGTTGGGCAGCTTTTCATCCCATGGGGCAAAGTCTGCCTTCTCAAAGTTGAAGGCATAGTCATAGATTGATTGAGAAGCAGGGAAGTAGTTCCTTAGGATGACCAAGACAAGTGGATGTATCGGTTGTACATTCCAGTGAAGTGATTATAACAACCTGTACTTGACCCATGTACAAGTATATCTATCTGATTTATTCTGATTTCCAGTCACAATCCATAAGATGGTCCAAAAGCATGTCCAAGCTATGAACGTTGCGGTCCTTGGACTGATGTATGCTGAGCTTCTCAACCTCTCGCACACATTGGTCGAAGGTAGGTCGGGATGCCTCAAAATCAATCCGTTTGATGTTGAAATCGCAACTGCAACTTGAGATACTCTCTGGTTATTTAACATATAGCTAGGGAACATGACCCATTTATAGATGATGTACCCATTAAACATTGTCCATTTTCCATAGCTATGTTGAATAGTCAACGGGTAAATTGAGTGCATGCCATGATTCCAATTGATTCCACAGCGAAACATTGATCATTGATCTCCCGCCTCTGTGATGGATGATCCCAACGACCAAATCAGAGAGAAGGCGAACAACTTGTCGAGGGCTTCCAGTGCTTTCTCACCAAAAGCTTCGATGTCAATCTTGGGCGCGAAGGTCTCATAGAGGCCTTAATACAAGAAACCTGTATATTCCCATAGGATCCATGTATGGTATATTTACCTACATTTGGGTGATTTTTAGGGCAAATGTTGGTAAATATTCCATACATGGATCCTATGGGATTGTACCAAGACATGGAAGGCATGGAAGATCTTCTGCTTTTTGTGAAAAAAACACCGGAAAATGGGATCTGAATGGATCCTTAAATGGATGACAGCATTGGTGCCTATTGAAATCCTATTGATCCAATCCTTGACCAAAAAAACCTGGATGACATGCAATCCACATAAAAAAAAAAAAGCTGCAGATTCGGCAAGTTTCGAGTGAGAGACATCACAGCATTGGTATCCACGATTGGAGCGAGCTCCGCGCATGTCTTGCGAATCTTCAAGCACTTGGGAATCCACTTCTCCGATAGATTCAAGACCTGAGCTGAGGACTGCAGCTGCAACGAAACGCAACCAGGAAAGTATGTAGTGACTTCGTGCAGCTGCTGGACAGGGTTTTGAAATGTTTTGAAATGATCAAGCGCAACACAGAATACGCAAGGAACGCAACTAGTGGAGGCCCCGACAATGAGGTTTGTTTATTATGAAATCATATGAAATCCAACCATATGTCACCATCGCATGACGTCACTGTCACGAATTCACAAGTTGGAACCAAATCAGAGGACCTGCACCCTCTGCCATTATCCCCCCAAAACCACAATCTTTTCATGGGATTCCAACATATCTCCAAATTTCCATCCAGTCATGGGGTACCAGTTATCATCCAAGGTTTTTTTGGATGACTATTTTACTATTGAAACAACCATGGTTTTTCCCATGGTCACTTGGGGATCATGACGTTCCCGCCAGGCTTCGCCGGCCCTGGCGGCCTGGCCAAGTCGCATCTTGCTGCCGGTTCTGCGGGATAAACTTCTCGACCCATGACTTGAAGTACGGCTCCCATCCAAGGTCTGGTGGATCAAAATACACCTGGAGACAACGACGAACAAAGGGTCATGATTTCAGGTACCTGAAATGGAGGGACTCTACCATATATAAAGATTATAAAGCCATATTCAGGGGACATCTCCACATAGCCCATATGCCTTGTATATCGTGGGTAGCTCCCATTGTCGGTAGCTGAAATCGCCATTGAAACTTGGGGCTGAAAAATAATCATCATCATCTCCATCATCTCCAGAATCCTCCAAAATGTTTGATCAATCCACCCAACACAATGCATCAAAACATCTCAAACATACTTCAGAAGACCTTACTGAAAGCTGTCCATATCTGTCCACTTCGGGCTTTTTTAGTGGATTTGCACGCATAGCCATAGGGGATATATCCGATATCCTAACTTCTAGAGGTTATTCCCATTTTGCTCACCCCAAACTGCACCCACCTTCTGTAGGGTTTTAACATGTTTTAACCCATTTTGGCCCAAATTTCTTCGATTTGCTTACCCCAGGAAAATGACTTAAAGATACCCAACAAAAATCCCCATGCTGCTTTCCCATCTTCTTGTGGGAAATCCATGGAAATCCCGCTGCCAAGAAACCATTCCAGCTCGTGAGACGGTTGCTGGAGAGGCTTGTGCTAGGTCCGCCACCTCAAAAAGTAGCCGCACCATGGGCGGCATGCTGATGCGGTCTCCGTTGATCAGGGTTAAGACCTGGCCAAGGATTGTGTTTTTTTTCATGGGGTTCCAATGAATTTTCATGGGGATTCATAGATTTCATATGATTTCATAGGTTTATATAATATATCATGACAGTCAATGTGGTAAATCCTATGGAAAATAAACCTAAAATAGATGTTTTTTGCCAGTTGTGGTCATACCATGTCATACCAGGGATGGTAAAAAATTGGGTTTACCACATTCATGGGGATTGATGGATATTGATGGAAGAGAATGAACTTGATGGATTATTGATCAAAACTCTGAATGCGTGTCCTACGGGACTACGGGTGGCCATGAAGAAAAAAGGTGTCTGAAGGGATTATAGTGCACTCATTTTGTCATAAACGAACAAATTAAGACTCGGTCAAGACATGTTGAGTATGGTTGTGCCATGCGGCAAATGCTTCCAGGTCCAGGTCTTTCACATTGTCACTTGAGCAGTGTTCCATAATCGATGATAATTTCCAATGCATTGGGTAGTATAATAATTCGAACTAATTCATAATTATAGTGTATAGTGACAATCTCCCATATATAGTGGATAGATGTGGATAGTGATAATTAGATATCAACAACAGTGGATAGATACATATATATATATATATAGGGGACTAATTAATACTAATTATATCTAATTATCATCCACTATCATCAACATATAGTGATAATTAGTCCCCTATCAACAACAGTGGTTTTGAACAAACAGCGGATGCTCCATGGTGGCCTTGTTGTCATCCAGGACGGTATTCATGGATTCAATCCACAGAGTATCCACCGGCCCGTCCAACACCAGCCACTTTTCATCCGGCTTTTCGTCCTTCACGAAACGATGCGCTTTAAAAGCACCGTAATACATCATCTGGGTCTGAAAATGTTAAGCATACCCCCAATTTTGGTTTTTCTTATAGGGAAAATGACCATTTATAGTGAGTTTTCCCATTAAAAATGGTGAGGTGAAATACATAACATGGTCACATGGTATACAGTGCCGGAGCGTACTTATATCATCCATTATCATCCTATATATTGTTGTATTATTATTATATCAATTATATAATATAATCCTATATTTCGTTATCGTTTACAACTGTTATAACATGTTGTACAGTAACTCCCAAATCGCTCTGCAGTGTCAGTTGCCAAGATTCCTGGCACATCCGCCGCATGATGGAAGACAGCACCCCATCGGTCCACTCCATCATGGTCGCAGCATCATATGCACCATAGAGCTCGTTCCTGAGCGAAAACCCCTGGATGAAAAAGGATGAAAAAGGCAGATCCTGCATGCCAGGTGGGCATGCACAAAAATCCATGTTCAAGCAGTACTATCCTTTACCATTCCAAAGTGGTGATGTGTCCATCATTCCAAGGATCATCGTGATGGATTTTGGGTTGATAATGTCAAAGACCACCTTCTCCATACCTTGGCAGCGTACAGCTATGGGTCACAAGCCTGGTAGCCTGCTGATCCATCCCCAGCTATGTGCGTTGCTCATCCCACAGCATCCCATTTCGCAGCAAGGCACCCTCCTGCCCCATGGACTTCAAAATGCATTTGGCCTTGGCCAGAGTTTTCCAGCAAACGCTCTTTCCTCCAAGAGTACCACCCACCAACATGTTGCCGTGGCGGGTAATCTTCGTCTCCTCAGTGGAGGCGCATGATGCCTTTGAGTAAAAAACAAATTTACAACACCTTGAATGTATACAAATAGATAATGGATATTCGATTCAATGATAGTTTTTAGATGTTTTTAGCAGGTTCTGTTCAAAAACACACAGCTATGTGCAGTGTAACCCACAGAAACTCATGCTACGTGGCCTTTTCGAAAAGGGAAGAGGAAAATATGATCCCCGTCTAACACGATGCCCATGCCTGAAGTATCTTAAAGTGTTATCATCAACCATCATGTGTATCCAAGTCATTCAAGTTATCCAAGTCTCATAGATGCTGATGCACTTTGCCACAGAGTGCTTGACCTTTTGACAGCCCATCTCTTCCAAGACTTGATTGATCACCTCTTCCAACTTGCCGTAGTCTAGCACAGGAAGCTCAACTCCTGAAATCGAAGAAAAACCACGCAATCAACAAATGTAACAAAGCAGAAATAGAAAGGATACCTGACAAACAAAGGCAGTAATATATATATAATATATAAATTCCTAAATTGGGAACTCTCGGTTCCTTGCAGACATCAGTCGTCTCATAGATTTGAGATCTGAGCATTTTCTTTACAGTCCTGGGAAGATGTCGCTCAGGAGCGCTTGATACAGGGGCACATCTTGGGACACCCACTTCGGAGCGTTCATGTCCTTGGGCTTTGAATATTGGAAAAAAACCAACATGAAAAAACGCGGATTCGAAATCATTTTCCCCATGGAACATAAAGCCGTTTGGAGGGTCTACACGAATTTCAGACACAACCCGTATGGCTGTGATTCAAGCTATGTTTCCCCAACTGGAATGACTTTTTAAATATCAAATAAGCAAGTTTGATATATTTTGATAAGATGTTCTGTGTCCAGCGGTAGAACATGAGCCGTAGAAATTTGCTTCGGATTGCACTGAACAAAGCATCGTTGATCGCACGCATGAGGAGGATCTGCTCCGGCATATCTGGCTCCTGGCCAGGACTGGGAAATCCCCCATCAACGAAGGTTTTTGTTTGGTTTTCCATGGAACCCTTCGACAACGACCTCACTCTGGGAGACTGGTGTTGAACAGAGACGGGGATCACAGGGGGCAGAGTTAGAGGTATTCCTGCTGCACATTGGAAAATCCGAAGGCAAGTTTCAGCAAGTTGCAAGTTTATGCGATGTTTCTGTTCACACCCACGGGCCTTTCGCTTCAATGCTCCCGCACAGCCTAGCACCGACTTGATGTTTCGCAAACCGAAGTCGTAGTGATGCTGCTTGGACCTTATCTTTGTCAGTTCCTGTTTCAGTTTGCTGGTGCTGTACATGCTCCCTGCACTGACAAGTGCTGTGTCAGGGTTACTGGTGGCGAACCAGGGCGTTCCGGCTGCAGCATCCCTTGCTTAAGATCTCACCTCTTTCTAGACAAATCTTGGGCAGCCACATCTGCTGCAACATCATCTGATACAGAGTGAACTTCTTCTTTGCCAACATTTTGAAGTCTTTGAAGCCTCCAAGGCAACGCTTCCGCATGGGATCTGATACTTGCTAGCGGACTACGAACACGTTGCTTGGCAGCAATAGCAGGGAACCAAAGCTAATGCTTGATCAACTTATATAAGTGTACGTTTGTCCAAACATCCAAGAATACCATTTATAATCAAACCTGACAATGAAAAATCACCATGTATAGATGATTTTAGATGATTTTAGGTGATTTTTCCATGGAAACCTCCATTTCTACCGGATTTTCTGGCTAGCCATGTTTGATGACCGAAGGATACAGGAGAAGATGATAGAAGGGAAAACAGCAAGCGCTGAACAATCCTGGCCTTCGGAGACAAGCATGATTTCCTAAGCTCAAGGGATACAACTCGACAGAAACACACACGACTGAACACCTTACCAAGTGTCAGCAACGCACAAAGACATAGATCCTGCCTTGCCAAATCGTCACAAGATGACCCAAACCATAGCTCACAATGCATTGATATAAATAATTCACCCTTCCCTTCAAGTACATAATCAAATGTGGCAATGCAAAATCTCCTATAAATGTATATAGATGATAGATGATTTATGATAATTATCCCTTTGAAATCCCAATTTGCAAATGATTTTCCCGATTCCCATTGATAGCTGATTGTTCCCAATAGAAAACCCCCATTTTTCCCCATGGTTTCCCCCATGTTTGTCCCTAGCTCCCCACCTAATTCCAAGGTTCCATGATCATGGCCAGGTCCGGAACCATCATGGCCACCGGCCGGAAGAGCGCTTTCAGATTGTCGGGAAGCTCCGAGCGCCCCGCGTAGCCCGGGTTCATGGTGATGAAGACCTGGAAGGAGGAGCTTGGAAAACCGCCAGGTGTTTTGTTTTCTAAGGTGGGTTTATAGTTGTTAGACAAAACCAGTGAAAATCACTTGTAAATCTGAAAATCACTGAAAATAGGCCTCCCGCCCAGGAAAAATGAAGGTGTTTATAGTTGTTTATTACCAGCTTCCCCATTGAAATATGTTACAACATATGGCTAGTTGGGGGTATAGACCAAATTTCAGACACACACCCATATGCTTCCATTTCAGTTGAAATAATGGGGCTAGGGTTGACCAGCCATGGAAGCAAAAGCTTGAAACAATGACAATGAGATGGGATACACCTTCAGCTGTTGAATTGCTGCAAACAATATGAAAAGACTGTGTCTGTACGTACTGCATGAATCGTAGCAAGAGTGATCTACGAAACTACGAGGTCACATGAGGTCACTATCAGCGCACTTTTCAACCTAGTCATGTGAATCGCGGAAATGTGAGGAATACGGCTATGGGTGAAGAGTCATGGAATCCTGCGGTGTTCACATCGAAATTTTTGCGATCTGCGCACATTCATTCCCCATATGCTGCAGAATATGCTGTAGAACATGTGTCACCCATATTTTTGAAGTTTCCAACTGTTCTATCATGTTACTATCATGTTCTATCTTTTTTTGGGGTTGCTGCTAAACAATTCCCATCTCAAAAAATCTGCAGCGGACATTCCATGCACCCCAAGTGACGGCACAAGTCCTCTTCAAGCTGATTAGGATGTCCTATGCAGAGTGACGCTAAATCGGGCTTCAACAATATAGGGCGAAACTAGAGGTTTATACACCTTTTCGATTCTTTATGGAAAACGGTGGAATTGAAAACCTATTGAAAACCCGTGCCGTAACCAAATCGTACTAAATCATACTAAATCCCATGAAATTTTGGGTTGCCCCTTACATCCCCTAAAACAATGTCAGGGGACAGGTCTCAGCACTTGAGCTGTAAGTGTAACTTCCAGTTGTGTCCTCGAAGAGAAACTTGTCTTTCTCTTCTTTCAAAGCAGCTTGAATGGTCATGATCTGCACTGCCACCACAGACCTGCCAGATGTGGCAAAACCACAAAGTTTTCCATGCTAAAGCTGAAGACAAGCACTTCTGCAGACTGATTTATATACATATAATATATATATGTTAAGACCCCTTTATCATCTCAGATCACATTCAATTAGTGATTTAAAAAAAACTCATAATCATATAGTTAATTAATACACAAGTCGGTCACTGTTGATTTCTAAGACAAGGTGCAAGACCGAAACATCAATGCGGTTGAACTCATCGAAGCATCCCCAGCAGCCGCACCTTACAGGTCCAACTTCATGATTCCATGATCTCCGTGATCGAGATGATTTTGTGAATGACTGAATTTCGATGTAAAGAATATATGAAACAACGAGATTTTCAACACGAAATAAGATAGTTTGGAGTTTCCATAGTCATGGGATAAACCCCAATAGCTGGATGGTTTATTTCATGGAAATATATGGAAATCCCTTAAAAAAAATGGTATAAAACATGGATGATGAACAGGGGTACTATCACTTGGGAAACCTTCATATATAGTAGTCTATAGTGGTTTCCTACAATAGGGGTACCCCTAAATCATCAATTTCAATAGGATTGTCCATGAAATAAACCATCCAGCTGGGGTTAACCCCCCTGGATATCTCGAAGAAACGACTCCCAGGCGCTGTGCAAGTCCTGAGAACATGCGCCCCAGGGATTTATAGTCGAGGCCATCCGAACAGTTGAAGACGATCACATACCTCGTCGATAGCGAGCTACGGATACGGAGGATACGGAGACAAGCCCGTTTTCAACACGTTGGTGTTCGAAACGGGATGGGAATGGATGGGAATGGATGGGAATGGGGGACTGGGATGATTGTGAAGATATAGTCACTATATGGTAGTTATGGATTGGATCATTCCTCCATTCCCGACGTTTAGCACCAGTATGACAATGGTAGCAACCAGAGGAGAAATCTGAAAAAACATGTGGCTATGAGTCAAAACCCTGGCACCCAAGTTGGGTCACTGAAGGTATCCTAAAATATCCTTAAATGATGTTTATTCCCCGAACATATCCAAAATATGGTAATAATAGGTTTTGACCCATCACCATGTCTTCCGCAAAGTCGGGACTTTGGTGCATGAAACATCATGAAAGAGAAAGCCTCAACACTCGCCCAAGTCACATAGCCATGCCTTTGCCCAAATCTTTTACCTTGCTGTGGCAACTCAGCTGGCCATTGGCAATCAATATTATCAATTCTTTCGCACTGATGGTTTGCTACCTGCGGGTGTCTCAAAGTTGGTAACCCCAAAACATCGACCTCTCCTCATGTTCCATCCTTTTCCATCGATTTTCCATCGATTTTCCCCATTAAAATGCCATAGTCCATGGACCATGGACCAATGCCATTCCCCTCCCATCCCCAAATTTCTGGCCATTCCTAGCCCAGTAGCTGACTCGGTCTTGCCTGTGCCAGCAGGTCCGGCAGGTGCACCACCACGTTTCAAGTGCATGGCCTGGTACAGTTGGTCTCTGGATATTTTTATGGAAAATGTCACCCCACTTTTTGGAAAATGTTCATTGGTAAACTATACTTGGAGAAACTATACTATGAATCTATGAGAAACTGAATTCTCTCAACCATATGTGATGGGTAGCTCATTTAAGACCAAACCTCAAGGTGTATCTATATGTTGCTCAGCACTGCACGGCCTGAGATGTTTCTGCAAACAAGTTGCCGTGGTGAGCGTCATGTAGCAGCGATCTGTCATCGGTGTAACCACCAAACGTCCGTTGTTGCCCTGGTATTCATAGCCTGTTGGCCCAGGCTGTGCTTCACAACATCCATTTAGTAGTGACCTCTAGGAAGGACGTTACACTGCAAACCAAACCCTCAGTGATTTCATCGGCGATAGATCATCATTCCTCTCATTGCGGTCAGCATAGGTGAGGATTGGCATGGTTTCTGGTGAGACGAATTCACGTTATTCATCTATATATATATATGAATTATGCATCTATAGATAGATAGATAGATAGATTAGATTAGATTAGATTAGATTAGATTAGATTAGATTAGATAGATAGATAGATAGATAGAGAGATAGATACATAGGAAAACACATAGATAGACAAACAGATAGATAAGATGATACTAGATTAGACTAGACTAGATCAGAACAGATCGGATAGATTTAGATTTAGGATCGGATTTGGATTTATACTTAGCTGAGATTAGATTAATTAGGATAGATAGCTGGCTAGATAGCTAGATAGACAAACAAATAAGCAAATAGATCGATATGCACATATCCACTATTAATTAATATAATATATATATAATTATATATAATTACATATATTACGTATATCTTCTCAGGGACACAACTTCTGACGCCGCGAAACCGTATGGTGCTGTGGTGTTGGTCTGCAGAACCACACAGGTCTGCACCGGAGGCTGGCCACCAACCGGTTCCTGGTAGAGTCTGAATAGGATACCTTTTTGGACCTCCCAGAAGTTTATGGGATTTTGGATATCCATAGCTATGAACTGATAAGTTTATTCCAAATTTGGGATTTGGATGGATTTGGGATATCCAATGTTTTTTCATATATCACTTCATGTGAAGTTCATAGGAAACTATGGAATATAGGTGTCTATTGTCCATAGGTAACTTCATATTCCTATGGATCTCGCAAATTCCTATGGAAGTTTATCACAATTTGTCGGACAGACCTAAAGTACAAATTGTTGCAACATTAAAAAGATATGCGACAGCAATCATACAGTATATTGATATACCGAACAGCTTGAGAACTTGCCTTTTGCCCGAACATGAGACTGCTGCCCGCCCTTGTGTCCTCCTGACTTTCTCGCAGTTCAAAGCGCAACTGCGAGGTCCAGTTGAAGTTGCTGGGCGACTCTGTTTTGAGGTTCTTAGCAAACCCAGAGCTTCGACATGTTCAACCAGAAACAAACAGCAAAGTCTTGGGCCTTCATGTGGATCATGCAATCATTCACTGATTGTTCACAGGTTATTAAGTGATATAACCATATATAACCACTTATAACAATCATGAACTGATAGATACGAAATAATCAAGCATCAATCAACCTTCAACCAGGTGGAATTCAGAAATACCAAAATATATCGACCATTCTCAGCTGAAGAAACAATCATGCGATCTTGCACATCTCGTGCATGAACCTCAATGGTGATTAGCGCCACGAGCTTGTTGCGTTCAATCCTGGGCAGTTACGGAAACTGCCCCAAGGCCCGGGTTAACGTCTGAAAACAGGGTACCCAAAATCCTATGGATCATTTAATGGGATTTTATAGTGATTTACTGGGATATTAATGGGATATACCCTCTGGTAATGACTAACACAGCTATTGAACATTGCCATTTTGCTTTGCATTTTGCTAGTTGATTTACCTACAAAAAAATCGAGACTGTATATGATGGTCGATGCAAAAAATTGACATGCTGGGATGCACCGAAGTGGGCAGCCGAAGATTCTCTTATCGAATCCGATGGCCGCACCGCAGCCGTTCATATATTATTCATTATGAGTGGGGAGTATAATCGTGATATAATCATACAATAAATATATATATATATGAGGATGGGTCAAAATTTGAGACTCGGGGGACCGCAGATTCTAGTCTATGCTTAGTATTCACCATCTATTTTTAGGGGTACCCAATTTTGACCCATACCCATATACGTATACATAATATTATACAATATTACCAGCAGTGTATATACTTGAAATCACCAACATCCATCATCATCCACCAACATCCGCCATCATCCACCAACAAAGAATTTCTTTAAGCACCCCACTTTGTGAGAGGCTTTCGGATCATCTCACATAGCTTGCTGATGTACTTGCTCTGGGTTCGCTTCAACATCCTGACGTGACCAGCACGACATGTTTCTGTCGAACGCTCTTAACATGTTCAACAGCTTGAAACAGTTTCAAACCAAACAAAATCAACTAAACCAACATAAACCAACTTGTTCTTTCACATTGAAACTTCAACTTCCAAGTCCAAACACGAAAGGGGCGAGAAAAAAAATGTCATTCAGCGGCGCCGCCTGAGGGCATTTTTCTGGCCCTTTTCCACTTTGGTCAGTGCTGCAGCACAGTCGGTGGTCCAAGCAATCTGCCCAGAGGTGATCCTAAGACGGAAACGATTGGAATCTCAGATCAATCCATGAATAATATGATGATTATGATGATCAATATGAAATCATATCAGATCTTCAAATATCTTCAGATATTTTATTGGAATATCATTGCAATATATTGTAATAATTTGTAATATATTAATGTAATTAATATGTTTTTATCAAACACATCTTCAGATGAGACTATTGGAATATCAAATCTATCATGATATCGGAATGATGTCATATGAATAATGTGATACGAATAACGAGTTGGACATGAAGAGTAAAATGAATAGTGAAACTAAACAAACAGAAAATTACGACTGCAAACTAATTATTGACTATAAAGAAGAGAAAAACAATGAATTAGCATGAATTTGCATAGATCAGTCTGAAAATAGAAATGAAATATGCACGACATGTTAATTTCCTCTAATTAGGGCTCAAGTCCAAGCACCTACGCTCGTTTGAGACAGCCCTGATGTGAGGGGCCACAAACACCTTATCTTGCAATAGCCAAGCCGGACCAAATTCAATTTCCCACGAAATCCGAAATCACAAAAAACTGATTTATCAAACGCCCAGGAAGGCGGTTTTGCGTGAGGACTCCCAAGATGCTTGGCGTCAAGCAACAACAATTGGCCCAGGAATTCTTTGACCCATTTCTCTTTCTTCATGGCCTGTCTGACATGGTGGAAGTGCCAGCAAGATTCGGTGCCAGTGTATGTACCCTCTGGTATTTTTCTCAGATAGCTGTAGAAAATGGCCATTTATATCCATTTATAACATTTATAGATTATCTACCTATATCAACATCATTAAACACGGTAATCTTCAATAGCAAAGTGTCAAATTACCAGAGGGATGAGACGTTTCAAGACCCGCAGCTGTGCACCTTGGGGTTGATGTTCATGTTGTGGCACTTCACGAGGTGCGCCTTCAAGGATTCGAACATCTTCTTCTCCACTAAACCGAGCCACACCTGCGCTGTCGGAAATGCGGCGACCGTCAGATGGTGATGTTACTGGAATGCACGAAAACAAACAAAATTTGCTCGCTATCAGTCCTAGGTTGACAATTTGAAGCCGGTTGGTTGATTTTAAAATGGTCAGCAATTCTTCACTGAAAACCAATGATGAATGTAGTATGTATAAATGTATATATATATATACATATATATATTATAAATATATATCATATACTTTTTGTAAGTTATATTTACGTAGACCATCGTAGACCCTATGAGCAGGTTTTTTTGTAAATAAACACAAATAAACATAACCCCTTGGGATGGGTCTTTGTGATATGTTTTTAAGAATGGCTAGCAAGCATGCAATCTCGAAAAATGGGGATCACATAGACCCTGGAAATTCATGGGCCAATTCATGGGCAAAATGGACAGCTGGCACAAAATAGACCCAAGACTTGCATTCTTGCTTTACCCCACTAACATGAATCCTACAAAAACTCAACATACTTGAATGGAATTCCTGTGCTAGCATTGCAAGTATGGCTAACATAGACCCTGCAATGGCATAAGAATCTGTTAGAAGGGTTGAAATTATTGCTAGTCAAAAGTAAAATCCATCCTTGCCAAAACACCATTTCAGGTAATAAATGGTAATAAAATATCAAGCTTCCGACCCAGATGCTCCATGTATGGAATACTTTTACACACACTTACCTCCAAAAAAGTCCAAATGTAGGTTTGGTAAATAAACCAGCACCATTGAACATAGCGTCGAATTATCATCTAACCCCAAAAAGATGCCGAAACGTAACATCCAATGGTCCAACAGTGGTAGATTTAAGCTCTTTTCTGATGGGTCTTCTTATTTCAGACTCGGAAAAACTAGAGATTTTCGTCGATGTTTAGCATTCAACAACCATTTTTTTGGGGGTAGCCCAACTTGACCCTGACCGCCAAATCCCGCCTCAACGGGTCCTTCAAGCTTCACCGGTGTCACCAATTTCTCCCTCTCTCCATCTGGTGCATTGAGACCTACGGCCTCCAACAGGGAGAATGATGATCAACCATGATTCACCACTGGATTTTGGTGATTTGGGCTTCTGTTTCTCATTTTCAGAGCTATGAATCATGGCCAAGTTGCAATGCGGCAATAGTCATCCTACCATGAAAGTTGGATGCCCAGATTAATGTGGAACCCCTTTATTCATGGTATGACCATCCCGTTTGATTGGGAAACCATGGAACTTGATCATGGCACCATGGGCCAACATGGGGTAGCTTTCCTAGCAGCACCAAGATTCACGTCTTTGGGGGTAACCTCAAGATTCATCAAACATGGTGTGTCAATCCAGGCTTGTGATTATCCAAAAATGGATTGTTCTGGCTGAATGGTTAAGAATCGTTAAGAATTTAAAAGAATGATTCGAAGATGAGTGCTAAAATTTGACCGGATAGGTTTCAGGAATGTGTTGGCTGACCATCTCTCAAAAACGGCTGCCTCCCATCGACGGTTTTGCGCAGGGGGCTGCAGCTCCAGTGACTTGACACCTTCGAAGCATTTCTTGATGTGCTTCTGAACTTGTTCAGGATCACGCGCCTGGAAAAAGGATGAAAAACTGATGAAAAACTGGGTGAAATACCAGGTGAAATACCAAGCGGATAAAAAGCTCGTTGCCTGATGGAAGCACCAAACCGGGCAGCGCTGGCCTGGCCCAAGATCTCAAGCAGGTCGTCATTGGAGATGAAGTAAAAGCGCGGGAAGAACTGACCTGAAACGCGGGAAGTTACCCTCAATGGAACATGGCTAGCCTGGCTTGGGAAAACCATCACTAAATGGGTCATTTTCCAGCCATGTTTGAGTACGGATACAACCATTCTGCATCACAAGGCCTCACTCCATCGCTCATTCATGCTTCCAGGATTCTATAAAGCATCCAGCCCTTGCTGCGTATGTGCTTTGTAAGATATTCAGTCATTTCCATTGGGACTGGCACGCTTTTTCTCCAGGTAATCATTGAGCTTCTTCTGAATGTTCTCCTGAGTAGCAAGTGGCAAGCTTTCACAAAAACCGGTGCAGCAGGCATAGCAGCAGTTTGTGTCGCAGAGCACCCCCTGGACATTTTCTCCTGGGAAGTAGCAATTCTATCAATCTGGTCTCTTTGACACCATACTCTTGAATGGGGGGCTCTTAAACTGAGGGACTCCCCAATCGTCCTCAAAAATGATCAAAAATGGTGATCAATCTATTAATAATGGAAAACCATGGACAACAAATAACAGAAAAAATGGTGCGGGTCTCCCATATGTTGAGAAACCACAGGAGCCAAGCTCCAGCTTTGCATCCATGGCTCCAATGAGGCTTCGAAGGATTGCAGGTTCCTAAGCGCGATGCAGCGAAGGCTTTTTCAGCGAAGGTGTTCAGAGTTTCGGCCATGAAGAAACAGGACAAATATGGGGAAAATGTCAGAAAAGGTCTGAAAACTATGGGGAAACCTCTCAAAACCATGGAGTTTTATCATCATTTTCCCGATCATTTGATGGCTATTTGCCCAGCGTCTCCAACATCTTCGGCTGGGAGCAAGCCTTTGTTGCCAATGGCTCTTGGTAGACTTTCCTGGCGCGCACTGCCAAGCATCCGCCAAGCATTTTTGTTGTGGAAGTCCCAAAAAATGCGGATACTCATCAACTGGAACACAATACACAACACAACGACGCAACGATATTCTACCTGTTTCCGGCGAAAACAAACACACCACCAACCAAAAATCATCATATTCATCATGAAGTTGAATCCGTTTTTGACACTAAGATTTCAAGCTCCTGAATCAACTAAGATTTCCTCACCAAACTTCACCAAACACACCGGCCTCATCATGTTGATGAAACCTTCATTCACGTCATCGAACATGATCGACTCATCTGGAAGGTGAGGCCGAATATCTTCCGAGCCCCGGAAGACGTTCTCCAAATACCTCAGGGACAAATTGGACCGGATGGATCGACAGGAGCATGCTGGATCTCCAATGAAAATAGATATGGCTTGAAATTCGATGTTCGTTTAAAAAAAAAAACAGCAACAGGTCACAAACAGGTCACTTTTTGGTATGAAAAAATATCCTAGGGATAACCTACTTTAATTAACATTTTTTCCAAATACCGTCGAGTATTTTTAGTTGTGTGAAAAGAACATATGAAAAATATAAGGGAACATGTCTCATGTCCAATCTGTTTCTTTCGATCTTGCTAGCAGTTAGCATTTAGCACTTGGCAACACATAATATATGTTCAACTTTAAAACAAATCAAAATATTTCACCCTCTGGTAATTTAACATAGATATTGAAAATGGTCCATTTATAATTCAATTAGTTGATTTACCTATTAAAGATTGTGATTGTTCCATAGCAAACTATTAGATAGTTTACCAGAGGGTAGATCTTCAGGCCAAGCTGCATCCATGACTTTTGAACCGACTGGATAGACTCAGTAACTTCCGAGATGTGGGCTAAGGTTTTTTCCCAGTACTCCACCTGGCTGCGGGTCACGACATTTTCCGAGATATACAGAGATGGGGGGGTTCCATAGTCAGGGGAATCTCCCCAATAGCTGGATTCTGGATGGTTCATGGAAAATCCCATCCATAAATGGATGATTTGGGGGCACCCCCATAATATGACCGGCCTTCGGAGCAAAGGGCAGGTAGAAGGGCGAACCTTAGCATCAGAATGTGAGATGAAAAACTTTGTGGAGAATTCCTCAGTTCATCTTTGTTCCTTCAATGAGAATACCTTCCAACCGAGGCGTCAGCTCTTGTAGGACGACAGCGCTTGGATGTTCTCGTCAAGTGCCTCGACGTAAGACTGGACGATTTGGGTTGTTCCCTTCAAATCAAAGTTGTTGCCCGTTGAATTCTCATCATTCAGACTACAATGAGAAAATAATCAGAATGCACTATTGCATAATCATGTTGAAGAAGAGTATATAGCATATGTATATGTATGTGTCTATATATATAACCATGCCACTTCTGTATGTATGTATATATATATATACAGATGTGTTTATATATATATAGACGTATTTGCACATAGTCAACCTGCAGTAGGTGGAATGTGCATGTTCAAACATATTCACATTTGGGTGATGATGTTTTGAAATTGCCATGCTCTATCTACTGCAGGATGACTATAATTACTTTTATAAAATCAACCATGTGTGTATCTATAGATTGCATAAATACGTACACATATTGCATACACATATATTTATAAAATTACATATGTTTGTATGTTTGTTAATATGGCGTATAGAAAAACCGCCAAAAAAATAGAAACGTAAAACCCTACTAGCTAACATAGTATTGAATTGTTGTTCTACCTTTTTGATGGTTATTTTACATACATGTGTATACTATTATCTTCTGTTACATTTATATTTTAACTGTATAATCAACCATATATATATATGCGTATTAAATTACGGGTGGAGAACATTTTTGCATTTGGTTTTTTTTCGGGTGAGTTTGGGGATTTTTCTTTTTCGGATTCCTGTTCCCTTATATTTGCAGCATTCAGAAGCTATAACCCTGGTTTTCATTTGGTATTTGACGATTTTGCAGTTCTTATGCTTGTTGGGTAGGGGGTGGGAGGGGTTAGGCGTTAAGGTGCGGGGGGTGGATGGTGAGGGGTGGGGGAGTTAGGGGTTTGAAGGTGTTGAAAATGTTAAAGGTGTTGAAGGTGTTGAAGGTGTTGTTGTTGTTGTTGTTCTTGTTCTTGTTCTTGTTCTTGTTGTTGTTGTTGTTGTTGTTGGTGCTGGTGGTGGTGGTGGTCTTGTCCTTCTTGTCCTTCTTGTCCTTTTTGTTCTTCTTGTGTTTCTTAAGCTTCTTCTTGTTCTTCTTGGTCTTAATCTTCTTCTTGTTCTTATTTTTCTTCCTGTTCTTCTTGTTCTTCCTGCTCTTCTTGTTCTTCTTGTTGTTCTTGTTATTCTTGCTTTTATTGTTCTTCTTGTTCTTCTTGTTCTTCTTGATTTTCTTGTTTTTTCTTGTTGTTCTTGCTCGTCTTGTTATTATTGTTATTCTTTTCTTCTTGTCAATGTCGTTGTCGTTGTCATTTAGGGGCTTAGGTGCCGGGGGGTGGGAGGGTAAGGGGTTTGAAGGTTATAGATGATGCTGATGCTGATGCTGATGCTGATGCTGATGCTGACGCTGGTGCTGATGCTGTTGTTGTTGTTGTTGCTGCTGTTGTTGTTGTTGTTGCTGTGGTTGTGGTTTATGTTGTTGTCGTGAAGAGAAGAGAAGAGAAGAGAAGAGAAGAGAAGAGAAGAGAAGAGAAGAGAAGAGAAGGGGAAGGGACGGGAAGGGAAGGGAAGGGAAGGGAAAAGCAAGAGCAATAGCAAGAGCAAGAGCAAGAAACTCAGGCAATCTCATCCGGAGACTACACAAGAGGAAGAGAGACGAGCACATCATCATCCAGTTTGGGGGCAGCACCCAAGCACAAGGAGTAGCTGCAAAGGTACGGCCGCTTCACGCGTCCGAAGTGTATCGGGCCTCAAGGACCCTGGCCCGAGTCTGGGCAAGGCTGATAATGGTGTCAAAGTTCCCCGTGCAAGGCCACGCAAGCCAGCTTTCAAGCAAATCGACAGGTGCACCGCGTCCATGACTGAGTTGTGGGCATTCCCAATATTCGTGGTTGCGGTCAGGTGAAGGGTGCGAACACCATTGACATGCTTCAACGGGTCGTTGAGATGTCACCTTGATTCGTGCCTGAGACACGTAGTGGCCAATGGCAATGGCTTTGATATGAGCACGCAAGTGGGTCGGTGCTGAGTTCCACGCTCGTGAGACCAAAACATGGCGTTGCCTCACTTCAGGCCACGTCCAATTGGCCAAGGCCGTAGCGGCCTTGTTGGCCGACTTCAAGAAGCAGTGCCACTGTTGAGCTCGCCAAGCATCGCGCAAGTGGTGATCAAGAAGTTGAGCGTCGAAGTTGTTGATATCAAGAATGGTGAAGTCCTGGTGCTGAGGTTCAACAGCATTCAAGTTGATGATGATGTGTGCGTGGTCATGTCGCCATCGCCATGGTCCTGTGTTGTTCCATCTTGTCGACGGAGCCAGTGCTTGGTGACATTGATTGGCCCCTGGGTCTACTTGGAAGGCCACATGGCCCGTAGCTGGGAATCCCTGAATACCGCCATGATGGTGTGCTTGGCCACGATGTGGCCAATCCTGTAATATGGGTCAGCTGCGTGTCCAACAAGAAGTCGAAAAAGTGCCACACTGTTGATGGTTGTGTTGCCATAGATTTTTTGCCATCAGCAATCGGAGTGGGTTGAGGCTCTTTGCTGCTGGAATTCTGCTGTAGCTGGGAGCTGCCGCAAGTGCCATTCCAGTTGCTTTGGCAAAAGCTGCCTTTTCAGAGGTGGTGTGTGGGAGCAAGTTCACCCACCGAATGACCTGAGCGGCTCTGTTGATCCTGTGTTTCTCCTCATCAGTAGGGCCGCTTGCTCTGCGATTCGGCTGTGTGAATGTTCCCAAGATTCGCATCCTAGGCTTGATGGTTCCTGGGACTCCTGCTTGGTTGATAGCGTCCTGAAGAGCCGCAACATTGCTTTTGTGCCCAAACGCATTGAAGTCAGCCTTGCTTGCGTTTTCTCCAAGGTTGAGTTGTGCTGTAGCCTGTTGCCATGCTCGAGCAAGCGTGACACAAGTGCTTGCCCGCGCTGTGATCCAGAACCTGTCATCGACGAAAATGGAGTGACGTTGAGGTCCATGTTGGTCTTGGGGATGAGCAGCTCTGATTCTTCTGTAGGCTTCAGACATAATTGCCAGCAGGCCAATTGGGCTCGCCGAGTCTCCTTGCGATAGACATTGAGCAGAGTAAGGCCGGTCGCTGACGTAGTTGGCCGTAGTGATCCAGCGTTGTTGTTGTCGCCATGCTGCAGCGATGGCATTGTTGATACCGGCAGGTATTCCCATGCGTTGCATCGCCGCTGTGCTGTATTGCCACGCCAGTCTGTCAAAGGCCTTGGAGAGGTCAGCACCTCCAACGAAGCGATAGTCTTCAGCTTGGTCACTGTTGCTGAGATTGGCTTCAACAGCAGCAAGGTTGGGAATGAGGGCTGTGTGGATGCCCTTGCCTTGGAGGCATCCGTGCTGCTCCTCAGGCATAATCTGTTTGAACCATGGTGCCAGTTGCTTGATTCGGTGAGAACTCCAAATTCTGTACCAGATGGAGCTGATGCTGAGCGGTCTGCTTGAAGAGATTCTGTCCGGTGGTTTGCCCGGCTTAGCAATGTGGAGTTGCCGCCAGTGGGTGGTGCTGCTTGGCCACGGATGGCCTTGCTCGATGTAGTTGTAGAAAGAGGCCACGATTTCAAGAGCCGGTCGGGGGCAATAGGCCACTTCCTCCCCAGTCCATCCGTCAAGGCCAGGGGCTTTTCCAGCCAGGCGTTTGGCTGCGCGTCTGATGTCCTCAGGTCGGAAGGTGGGCAGTTGTGGTGCCTGAATTGCCGGCCATGGTTGTTGTTGAGCAAGAATGGCTTGTTGTTGAAGGTCCTCCTCGGTAGGTTGTGGCCAGATGGCCTGCCAATATTGATGTATGCGATCAATGAGCTGATCTGTGTGGATGATGTCGCGGTTGGATTCAGATATGTAGGCCAGCTGGGCGGTGAATTTTCCACGTCCAAGCCATTTCCAAGTTCTGTGGTTGCTGTTGCGCAGCCTGCGTCGCCACGCGATGATGCGTGCCTGCTGTTGTTGCGATTCAATGCTTTGAATCTCTTGTTGGATCCAGTTCAGTATTTGTTGCTGATTGTTGGGCCGAAGTTGGAATGGGCATCCGAGTTGTTGCAGGTTGTACTGCAGCTTCCGCCAGAGTTGCCAGCTGCTTTCAGTCTGCGTCCTGTTGTGGTGGATGTCCCAATACTCGTTGTGTCGTCGGTGTTGTCGTCGAAGTCGTGCAAGTCGAATGCTTGTGCTAAAGTGGCTGTTGGCGCTGTTGTGGTTGTGGCGCAAGTAGGTTCCAGGGTTGGTTCCCTTGGTTTGCCGTGTGTGCTGCTTTGGTCGGTCGTTGCGACCTTCATAGGCTTGGTTGTGAGCCCGACGGAAAGTGTGGCTAAGCGCTTGGAGAAAATCATTCCACAGCTGGTCGATGTCCGTTGTGTTGTCCAAGGGAGGGAGATTGAACTGCTGGTTGGTCCATTGAAGATCAAGCTGATGTTGCCAGTCCTCCGGGTTAACATGATCAGGTCTGATCCATTTCGGTTGTGGAATAAAGCATCGTTCAGGTTGCTGTTGGATTTGGTGGTCCAAGTTATATTCCAGGAGTTTGTGGTCAGCGTACTTGTCCTGACGCAAGTTCACAGGTGCTTGGATGCCGTGCTGCAGGCTGTAGTCAATGCAGTGATTGCCTCCCTATCTCGTGGGGACAGGCTCCGGGGGATCCGCATTGTCCGCTTCGTCACCTTGGTCCGAAACTTGGTGGGGGTAGACGACGTTGGCATGCAGGGAATGTGCATAGATGAGCAGTGGGTCTTCCAATGGGTTGCCGTTGAAGTCACCGCCCATGAACCATTTGCCAGAGCCGAGGCTGGCCAAGTGCTTACCGATGTTATCAGTCCAAGGTTGCTTGTTGATGCCAGGACGTCGATAGGCACTGATGATGTGAAGGCCTGGGATGGCCACGTCGATCCATTCTCCTTCCTGATCAGCATGCTTCTTTGCAAGGACGGCAGGGATATTTCGGCGGATAAAGATGGCTGTACCAGACTTGGGAGCTTCGTGTTGGTGGGTGGTATCCGTTGAAGCCTGAAATAACTGCCATTGTCGGTTCGTATTGTTGATACAATCGACTTCAAGGTCGCTGAGTCGGGTTTCTTGCATGAGGATAGCATGGATGCCTTCCTGGGTGGCAGTGGCAAGGATGTCAGTCCTCAAGTGGTAACTGGCAATGTTGATTTGCCAGATTTTGAGGGTCGTATCCTGGGGGCCAGGGTTGGGTTCGACATCGCCGCAGGTAGTGAGATCCAAGGTCCAGGTGTTGTTGGGACCATTTTGAATCGGCTTGTTGATGTCCTGCTGTTTGGCGCTGGCTCTGGATGGGTTGTGTTCAGTATGATCAGCTGCTTGTTTGGAAGAAGTTGCCTTGATGCCCAGGCTGCATCTGGCCGTGGGGATGTAAATGTTCTTGCTGTTGGTGGCTCCCGAAGCTTGTTGGGCATTGGCACACTGTCCGTGATTCTTCCTCCAATTCTTTCTTTTGATCTTGAGCATGTCGTTGTAGGCTTTGTCAGAAGCGTACCGTGTGGTGCGCTTTTTACTGTTGGCAATCAGTTGTTGGGCCTGTTGCCTGATGATAGTCCATTGGTCAACTGTGTAGCCGAGAGTTGATTGCAGAAGTTGGCTTTGGTCTCCGGTCAGGCCTTGGATCCACTTAGCTCTGCCTGCATTCTTGGCTTGGGGATTGCATGTAGTGTTCCCCATGTGAGCGGTGTTACCTTTGGCAAGGCAAGTAGTGCAAATCCAGGTGGTCTGATCCGGGACACAATCTTGGAGTTTGTTTTGCTTCACATGCAGCAGGTTGTGCTGCGCATCATCGGGGGCAACAGCTTGCATTTGCTTGGCGCGCATCATGGCTCGATTGGTGAGAGCCGTGCTGCCCTGGGATGGACAATCTTTGAGCGTTTTGTTGTGAATGGTCTTCAAGTGTTTTTTCCTCCAGAATTGTCCTTTGGAATCTCCTCTGACCGGGATGTCGCTTTCGCAGAAAGGGCACCACCAATTGTAACTTCCTTTATCCGCTGCCTTGGCATGGTCGCGCTTGCGCTTCTTAGGGCAGCCAAATGTAGGTGGTTCATCAAAAATTGGGGTATGGTTTTTGCTTTTGTTATGGATGCTGATTGCCTCCAGGGTGAGCTTGGTAGGGTGATTTGGGCCAGCTGCCTTGGTATCGGTGGGTTCACCAAGGTCAGGTTGCTGGAGCTCTTGGGCATGGAACTTATCTTCTGGCGCTTTCTTATGGCCAGGATGCTTAGTTTTGAAATGTCTGTGTTTGGGAACAGAGATTCCTCGAGCAGTTGTACTTTCAATCTTGTGATTGCAAAGTCGGCAAGTCCAAGTGTAATTTTTTGGGCTGTCTTTTTTGGTTGCTGTGGCCAGGCTGGGGTCGGCCTGTTTCCCGAAGAGCCGCTTCGATTTCGGATTTGCATTATTTTGATTCCCAGGTAGGCAAGCTGTAACCACCCTGGGGTTTTTATTCACGGCAACCTTGGGGTTATCCAGGTGGGCAGGAGGCCGTCCTGGCGTTTTCCCAAGTATGCCGGAGTCACTCTTCGGGTTGGTAGGTGGAAACACGGTCTGGATCGTGTGAACAGAAGGTGTCCTGGTAGTTCTGATCGTGAGACGAGCACATCGCATGATGGCGCCAAAGCAGAAAGGAGAGAAGCATCCAAGCGCAGGCGAAGAACAGGAAAGAAACAAAGACGGCAACAACATTAAAGATGTACAAGGGTTAAAGAACCAGGACCATATGTGCTAGGGTCAAAACATGGTAATTATATAATGTATGATCATCCATCTCATAATGGCAATCCTTATCATGGGCATACAAATCCCTATGAATGGATTCATGAGAAATTGCTTTTATGGGAAAGTAACAATGTTTTTGCCATGCACATCAAACACAAAAAAGTAGAGAAATAAAACAAACACCAAAGCAAAACAGAAGAAGAAGAAGAAAAGCAGAGAAACGAAAGCAGACAAGCCGAGAAGCAAAGAAGCAGCAAAAAGCAGAAAAGCAAAAAGAAAAGAACATCGCAAATAAAAAACGGAGAAGCAGAGAAGCAAAGAAGCGGAAAAGCAGAGAAGCAGAGAAGCAAAGAAGCAAAAAAGCAGAGAAACAAAGAAGCAGAGAAGCAAAGAAGCAGAAAAGCAGAAGAGGCAGAAGAAGCAGAAGCAGCAAAAAAGAAGAAAAGCAGAGAAGCAAAAAAGCAGAAAAGCAAACAAGCAGAGAAGCAAAGAAAAGGAATTGAAGCACACAAAATAAAGCAAAAAAAAAGATTAGAAGGCACCCAAAAGCAGAAAGCAATGGAAAGTGTAAGAAAAAGGACAAAAAAAATCCCCAAACTCACCCGAAAAAATATCCCTAAATAAATCCCGTCCCTTAAATTGATATACATACTACATTAGTACAGGTATTGCAGAAATAATATGTATATATATATATATACATATTAATACATGTTACATCTATAATATAGAATTTTAAAACATGATTGAACTGTTGGTCAAAGGTTGCACTCAGGTCTTTTTTTGGTTCATGTTGTCTATTGTCTTCTCACTGTCATATCATTTGATTTATATATATATTATTAAAACATATAGTATCATATAGCGTCATATCAGTGTATATATATATATATTTATATTACATATTCTAGTTACATACATACATCTCTTCCAATATACATGTCATTGTAATTATAAAATACAGGAGGTTTCCTACGTCATGGGGGTAGAACCCCAGTAGCTGGATGGTTTATAGTGGAAAGTCCCATCTATAAATAGGCAACCTCCATATGAGTAGCGGACATGTTTTTTTGTTAAATTTGATGCCATGCACAAATTAGGGTCGTCCCCTATCGGTTGTGAGGATGTCAGTACTCCCAGAGGTATCACAAATGGGGTATCGGTATAGGGTTGTACCCTATCAGTTATGAAGGCTTTAAGTGCAACCTCAGAAAGGCCAAGGCGAAGCAAGACTAAATTAGTACAATAATCTCATCTATAAATGGATGATAACTAGGGGTACCCCTATGACTTGGGAAACCTCCATATACTCAACCAAATCAACCCATCCACCATCCCTTGCCTGGTAGAGCTCCTCGGTGCTACGGACTTTGAAGGCATCGCCCTTGTGCTCCACAACATCGATGGTCATCGTGGACCAAATCCTGGAAAACAATTGCACACATCGGCCAAAAATGCTAGGAAAAAGGTGGAAAAATGCTAGGAAAATATTGAAAAAATCGGGAACAAGATGGAACATGCTAGGAAAAAAATGAAACATGCTGGGAAAATCCAGACTTCAAAGGATATTCCATGATTTTCCAGTTGAACATATGCACGCTTATCCTGGGAAAATAAATATCCTGGAAAATCCAGAGTACCTGTATGATCCCGGGTATGTTTGTTTGTTTCCATTAATTAAAGGTCCTTGCAGGAAAATGCTTGGAAAACGAGTTGATTCATGAAAAACATCCATGAAAAACAACGCTTCCTCACTGTAAACGCAGAGCGTTCCTGATCGTTCAGTTGTTATGAACAACCCCCTCTCAGGGATGCTCCCAACACCCCAGACATGGAGAAAAACTGGATAATTACAGAGGTAAAATATGGTAAAATGACCTATTTTCCATGCAAAAGTAGCTATCATTTGCCAATGGCTTGGATCAACCCTGTCTCTGTGTCCCAACGGCCCATTTCCAGATCGGGCAGCGCCCCCTCCTGGCAATATCTTCCAAGCCATTCTCAATCTTCGCCTCCTTCTTGGCATCATCGCAAAGGCGCGCAATGAGGTCGGCCTGAAAAAAATCTGACCCGATCCACTGAATAAGACATGTATGAATGCAATTTGTTCCAGGCAAAAACTAGGAAATTCTAGCCGGGCATTTTGATTACCAGAGTTCAATGAACAGTTGTGAATTATCGAACTTCAAGTGTCAAAAGAGCCAACTCTCAGAAGCAACAGCGCCAGCTTCCGGCCAAAGCGGCATGGTTTTGAAGGCCCAAATCCATGACTCGTTGCAGCGTGAAGCCAGCATCTTTCGGATTGAAGGTTTCCTGTATAGTGCTTGCGCTGCAACATGAAACAATTCTACTTTCTGATCTTTCGGTGCGTGTTCGAACTGTTGGAAAGGCATCCAGACTGCTTTGTATACAACATTTGAAGCATCGGTGCTAGTTTTGGGGATAGGTCAAAACCTATTATTAGATATTACCATCATTTACCAGCTATTTTAGGGGACCATAGGATCCATAGGGTACCAGGGTTTTGACGCATCAGCATTTGAATTCAATTTCCTCAGCTGTTCCCAGATCTCCTTGACTTCCTTTACAATTGCTTCAATGTGACGCGCGCGCATGGCATCGGATCGTAGATGTGTAATCACTGGCATCCTTGGCACCAACACAAGACGCAAGCACCAACAAAGAAGAGTCATATGTGTGTCCAAGGAACACACGCGAAACAACATGTTCGTGGATGTAATGGTTATGCCGGTTCATTCCTATGCGCTCAAAACTTGAAGAGTGAAGACGTTTGGAATCGTTTGGAGAAATAATTTGTCCAAGCATCATGTTGCGGAAGGTCTCCAAGTCAGACTTCAGATCTTGATAGACTTGCCAGTTCTGCACGTTCTTGTCCTTTCCAATGACCTTCAGGGCTGTGAAATTTCAGTTCTTCCAGCTTCAACCCAATAGTATTCAGGACAAATAGAGGGGCCGGTGTTATTATTTTTATATACCATTATTATCCATTATTACTACTACAAGTAGCATGATTCTTATTACTGTTACTTATTACATTTTATTACAGTATCAGTATATGGTTATTTAATGCTGTTTACTTAGTTGTCGAATCGAGGGAACCTTCTATCAACCAACCAGTGGGCTCAGTGGGAATCTGGAACATCCCGGGTCCCACCTTGCGCAGTTTGCCAAGGAATTGCATGGCGAGCTCGTCCATATCATCCGTATTCCTGGCTGTCAACTCGTTAAATGGCCACACCTTAATCCCATCCGCTTCATGTTAGCTACACCCCCATGGTTGATGGCCCCAAGATGTGTAGATCCGCAACAAAAAACATCAAGAAAACATGGTTTCTGGGTGTTAAATATTAAGGGAAGGGATGATTGATCCTTGACGCCTTGACCTGTTCGGCCTTTGATTTCTCCCTGTGGCATCTGGATAAACAATTTATGACAATTCAAGACGAGCTTCAAGGACTGGAAGCTTCCAGAGCGTAGCTTGTCCCATTCTTTGTTCCAACCATCTCTGATGTCCCAGACCATCGTCAGCTTCTCAATCTCCTGCTCCACCCACTCGAGTTCCTTGTAGTTGGCAGGCTCAATACCAAAGAGCTCTTGCTTCGGACGGAACTCGGCTTCCAGTTTCCGCTTGGCTTCAATCTGATTGCGGTAGTTCTGAAGCATGGCATTGGCCGACTCTGGGGTGAGATTGTCGCTCTTGTATGGAGCATGACGTCCGAAGTCCTAAGGTCCGCTTGAAAAAGCTGTGCCCGGCTCCAGTTGTTCATTTTTTCTCGGATTTGGGTTATTGTCCCATTACCCTCCACCAATCATGGCAATGGAAAGAAACATATAGTTCATAGACAACTCTTCCATGAAAACCACCATTTATGAGGATTAATTATTTCCCACATGTTGATTACCGAAGGGTGTATGTATGGAATGTTGTCCCTTGGATTAAAAAACGAACCCATCTCATGGCAACACCTTCATATCGTTTTCTCAAGTCTACTCGAAGTGAACCTCACCCATTTGCCAAAAAAATTACCCACTCTGTCAGAGACTCTATCAATCCTCCATCTATAAACATACGAACTTTGGATACGGTTTTTGGAACCCGAAATCCAAAAACATCTGGATGGATTATAATTAATCGTTCACCAACCTGAAAAAAATCGGCTATTTTGGGACACTTACCCCAATCCAATTCCCAGCATTCACTAACCATCATCCAGATTATATCAAAACCATGTTGCTTGCTTAAGAACGTGCTCCCAGTTCTATGATCATACCCAATATATTTCCACGGTAGGTTAATAATCCCCATTAATCCCCGAATTCAATCATCAACCATGGTTTAGCAACCAAAAAACACCCTTTCTTTGATGAGTATAAGCTAAATGATGGTTAAATTTTCAATCAACCGGGGTTTTCGAACGTTGTCCAAGCAGCTGTCTTGACATCCCGGATGCTCTGACCAAAGCTTCCGAGATCTTGCTCCAGACCTGCCTTCATTTGTTTCTTCGATTTGCCTCGTGGCTTCGTCAAGGTCGGTGCCAGTCTGGAAAGGACGGAGACCCCGACAAAAAGGGTTGACTTCATGATGATGATGGTGATCATGATGATGGATGATGGATGATGGATGATGGATGGATGGATGGATGGATGGATGGATGGATGGATGGATGGACGGATGATGATGGATGATGATGATGGTGATGGATGATGGATGGATGATGATGGATGATGATGGATGATGGATGATGATGGATGATGATGGATGATGATGGATGATGATGGATGATGATGGATGATGATGGATGATGATGGATGATGATGGATGATGATGGATGATGATGGATGATGATGATGATGGATGATGATGGATGATGATGGATGATGATGGATGATGATGGATGATGATGGATGATGATGGATGGTGATGGTGATGGATGATAATGATGATAATGATGATAATGATGATTATGATGATGATGAAAATGGATGGATGATGATGATGATGGATGATGGATGATGGATGATGGATGATGGATGATGGATGATGGATGATTGATGATGATGATGATGATGATGATGATGCTGATGATGATGATGGATGATGGATGATGGATGATGGATGATGGATGATGGATGATGGATGATGGATGATGGATGATGGATGATGGATGATGGATGATGGATGATGGATGATGGATGATGGATGATGGATGACGGATGACGGATGACGGATGATGGATGATGGATGATGGATGATGGATGATGGATGATGGATGGATGGATGGATGATGGATGATGATGGATGATGATGGATGATGATGGATGATGGATGATGGATGATGGATGATGGATGATGGATGATGGATGATGGATGATGATGATGATGATGATGATGATGATGATGATGGATGATGGATGATGGATGGTGGATGATGGATGATGGATGATGGATGGTGGATGATGGATGATGAATGATGGATGATGGATGATGGATGATGGATGATAGATGATGGATGATGGATGATGGATGACGGATGACGGATGACGGATGACGGATGACGGATGACGGATGATGGATGACGGATGACGGATGATGATGATGATGATGATGGTGATGGATGATGATGATGGTGATGGATGATAATGATGATAATGATGATAATGATGATGATGATATTGATGATGATGATGAATACGATATTTCCAAGAATGGGGGATTGGCCCCCCAACTTGCTTTTTTTTATACGGAGAGTGGTGATGAATCAGTGGATGGAGGACACAGGACAAAGGACATGACACGACCTGTCCATGTTGGTATAGCTTTCTATGTCTTTCCAACTTTCATCACTAGGGGTGGTCAAAATTGGGATAACCTTGGCACAGGCAACTGTGCCTTTTTAGGATTAAATAATATTAAAGAGTCGATTTTGCCTGGTAAATCCACATACAGTATCATATATCTTATTCTAGAATGTTATATTTCGGGCATGGAACACTCCATCTCAGCGTCATCCATACCAAAGTGCGTTCTAAAAGTCTACTTGCACTGCTAAAACAATTTCAGTAGGAAAAAAAAAACTACCCCTATAGAAGGGGGCAAAACCAACCTGTCGAATTCCACTGTTTTTTGCTTGGAAACCTTGGTATAGTGATCCAACCCCTCAAATGGAATTTTAAAGTAACATGTCTTAACAAGCCTTGGGCACTGGTTAGAAAATACTTGGGCACTGGTTAGAAAAAGTAGGACATGGCCGAACAAGAAATCGATGATTCAGAGACATCTCTAAGTTTTTTCCCAGTTATTTCATCAGGAAATCTCCAAGAAAAAACTGATTCGCATGGTCTTCTGTTATTCAAGTCATTCCCAATGATATCCTAATGATTCTTGTTTTTTTGGGATTGTTTGATCAAAAAAAAAGCCAAGAAACTGATTCGCATCTCTGCTTCCACCAAGGTCTCCCGGAAGGTCTCCATCTGCGGTCGCATCTGGGCCTTCCTCTGGAGCTCTTCATCTGACGGCATCACCTCCGCTGAGATCCAAGTTCTCGTGGAAAATGGGGGACGAGTCAGGGAAAAATATCGCAAAAACATGGGAGAGTCATGGGAAAACACAATATATTTATGTTGTTTAAAGATCAAGTGATTGAAGTTTAATTTATCATAAATTGAAACTTATATTCATTTGAAGTTTGGAGATGCCTTATCATAATCTTGTTAGATCTACTATCATGAAACAAATACCTCTCTGTAATACATCAGTCGGTGCATATATCACTATACACTGCTCAAATGTCTTCACTATTCATTGGATACTCTGCAATTGCAAAGAATTGCCCACTGGACATGCAATCAACATCTGTTTTTGAGGCATATCTCTCAGACAAATTGTGAGCTCAGCTGTTCAAATGGCACCTCAAATTCTTGGAGCTTTGCATACTTGTCTTCAATAGGCTTGATCTTGTTCTCCATTTCTTCATCATCTTTTCGGCACTGGTCAAGCAAAGCAATCCTGGCTTTCAGCTCATCCATATCCTTGATCTCCGAATGGAAGGTCTTCGTGTTGGAATCGAAATATTCAAGGAGTCGATTCCTGAAGTGATCCAACGTCCGGCATCCAAGAAAATGATATAAAATGACTGCTCCCAATGACTCGTTGACGGCTTCACAGTGTTAATTTGGCATCATCATCATCATCATCACCATCATCATCATCATCCCAAACAGAGATGGAAGAGTTTTTGGAAACTATAACTATGTTAAAACATGTAAAATCATGTGAATATATAAAATCAATATTGGAAAGTCTTCTGCAAGAAAAAACTTAAGAACGAATAGAAAAACATACGTGTTGGAAAGTTGCTTTCCAAACAACATCATATATATAATATATATATATATATTATTATATAACACTAACCCCCACTCCCTGATATTAAACACCCCATAAATGGTTATGTGTAAATCCCCTTCTAGACATTTCTAGACCGTGATTTCTTGGGGGTGTTTGATATTATGTTAAGGGACTAAATGATTAAACCTGTTCCGAGATTCATCTCTGTTCGAGCATTCTCATTCAGGAGATCCGTCAGTTTCTTCTGCCATTTCTGACAGTGATCCACCAAGGCGTTCTTGAGGGGTTGAAAATCCGTCTCGATGAAATCGATCACAACCTGGCCATGGCTGGGAAATCCACTCTATAAGTGGCGGTTTCAGTCAATGGGAAAATCATTTATGCTGGTATATAATTCTATGTATTTCATCAATTTTCATTATATGTCTATAAAAAACATGGAGGTTTCATTTATAAATGAGGAATTGTCCAACAAAGGTTCTCAATTTCCATTTTTCAGGTCTCAGAAGTGTCCAAAATTTGCACATCGAAACAGAGGTCATCACAAATCGAAAACCACATTGGTTACCGCAGCAAAATGCCACTTGTGGCTAGTTTCTCTGAAGCAAAGAAATTTGGGGTTCCATACCCCAAATCCCAAAATCCCATAGCCATTTTAGTGATAAATCGTCCATGGTCAGATTTTTCAGGTCCACAAGCAACGTTCAAAAAGAAGACTTCCCCACAGCGTGAAAACCCGAAGCAGTTGGCCGTTGGCACCTTGGGATCCTCCTGCTGGATGTCGGACTGCACGTCCTTGTAACGTTGGATGTCTTGCCCCACAATCGTCAGGGATCGTTCGGTCTTCCTCAGCACCAGGAGACTGTTCAGCTCCGCCAAACGGTACGTCCAAGGGGGAGAAAGATGGGAAAATAATTGAAAATATGCAGGTAAAATATGATCAAGAAAAAAAATAAAAGTTGTTGTCATTTAGGGTGACATGCGGATCCATGCAACTGAGTGGGAGCCACAGACTCAACTTAGAACTGTCGTTCATCAACTGCCTGCAATAGCTTGTTAATAAGTATGCTGTAAACAAAAAACAAAAAAGGCACTGTACATTAAATTTCCTGGTCGATATTTGTCCAAGCGAGGCAAAGCACTTGTAACGTCTGATGAAGGTGTCCTTGTCCTGGGAGACAATCGGCTGATAGGAGCTGTTCCTCAGATCGCATTCTTCGAAGCGGTTTGTTGAAGATGGGCGATTCTAAGATCTACTGGTTCGTCATCAATTTCCCTATGAAATTGCCATGAGTCAGTAACACTCAATGATATTAGATCACTAGGTCCATGGCGCTATCACTAGTCAGTATTGTTTTTTTGAACTTCTCTCCAGCCCAGCAGCATCAAAGCTATGTGCCCATGGCAACTGCCACTCTGTCACTGCAGCACGATAGATTGGGCAAGTTGCTACTACGGTGATCAACGTACATTTCCAATACATCAACAGTAGTACAATCATTCTTCCGCTTTTCATCCGTTTTTCCCCATGAAATTGCCACTATTTTGGGATCCCCCATCTCCAACATCACCCCTTCGCCGTAAATTTCGCAAGTCGAGCGTCCAGAACTTCATGCGCTCTCCGAGCTTCATGGAACAATGGTTGAAGCCTCTCAGCACCTCCTTGACGTACTTGATACAGCAGTCCTGGTCAACCCCCGTCCTTTCCCCAAGCACTGGTGTCACTGGAAAAATAAGAGGACTGAGACATATCTCTATCATGAAACATGACAATCATGACAATTAGAAAAACAAATATAATTATATATATATATACATATATATATATATATTATATGTACTACATGTATATATTATATATCTGTGCAACGATGTGCAATCTCTTTCTGGCATCTTAATGAACATTGTTTTTTATCAGCTTCAGAACACGCCTCATCTTTGGAGATTTCCTGGCAAGGCCAAAAACTGGGGCTCAAAAACACCCACGAACACATGGGAATTTGGCCATGTTTAGTAACCAATGTAACCAGAAATATGTTGAATTTGGGAATAATGTTACTAAATGAGTTACATTCAGGTTACCCAAATTCTTGAGCCAGGTTTACTAACATGTGGCCTAATGTTAGGTAATTTTGAAACATCTTGAGGCATCGCCTCGCCTCGAAGAAGCCTTTCTTCTTCTTGGGCGGATCACCTGCGCTGGAAATGCCAAGCTCCGAATTGCCAAAACACCGAGACATTCTGGTACAACTCCGTCAACTCCAAATAGATACTTTACAGCTTTGGATTTGTTTGGGAATTTGTTGCATATGCGCATTTCATGTTGGGACTCTCCCTTGCCTTTGCATATGTGACTTTCCTTTCGTTTCAGTTTGTTCAACACATCTTGCTCTTTTGACACGATAGACTAGTGACTAGCAATGAAAAGAGCTCTCCTGCTGTTGTCATTGTATTGCCGCAGCTTGACTCAGCTTGACTTGCTGGATTTCTTCTGAATCAACAGCCAGCGTGCTTCGTCATCAACATATTGGCTGTTCAACACATTGGCTCTTCTGATTATGATGAACCACTGGGTCATTGATGTATAGCCTAAGCATAGGTGCCTGCCTCTCAAAATGAGAGATTCCCGGAAGAAGGAAAATAGTTTTCGTACCCTTCTCAAAACATATTGGTTCAGATTCGTCCTTTCTTTACTTATTCGATATTATTCGATTGGCAACGAAGACTCCTTCAGCTTCAGCTTCACGAGCTTCGCTGTGGGTCCCAGGAGCCCAGGGGATCCCAGGGGATCGGCCCCGAGATCCGAGACAGCCGCACCTGGTGATGGGATTGCATTAGCACCTGCGAGATCTCCGGCCTCCTCCAGCTGCTCCTTCTTCTTCCTTGGAAGACCAAGCTGTTCAGATCTATGTATTAAACTCTAATACGGTTTATGTACTTATTTATATGTATGATATGTATATACATATAGAATATAATGAATATATATATAAATATATATGTAACTATATAATATGTATATGTGATTACATGTTGTATATTTATAAAATGAATGTGGATCATTGTTTTTTGTTTTTGAAGAGAAAAAACATTGAAAGACAACATTGCTTGTACCTTACGTATGTCTAAAAGCGCTCTTTTTTGCGGGGTCGATAATAGGTTTTGACCCATACCCATATACGTACATAATGCATATATTTTGTTACATCAAATCACTAAAATGTCAACCTGAGCCCTGGTTGATGATAAACTACCACTCCAGAGTCCAGGCTTGTGACGCACTTGCCATCGCTTACATATCTATCAAAGTTGGCTCCTTCTTTCCCATCTCTCGCTCATCCTCTCTCCCTCTCCCTCTCTCTCCATGTATAATCACATACATAACATATTCCCTTGATTCATGACTCACCAAATGGCCTTGGCTACTCGTACATCCAACAATGACGGTGCAGGATACAATATTTTGCTGCTCGAACAGTCTCATATCCCTCCCCAGAATGGATGTCGGTCGAGCAACTTATCCCTCTCTGTCTTGACGGTATAGAGGTGCTCGGCCAACCTGTATGAATCACAGCAAGACCGAAACTTCATAGTGCCTTTCGGTTTTTCAAATCATTGGTTCCCAATGAATTTCCTTCACCATGTTCCAGCCGTGGAAAGGGCCGCCTTGGGACAACCGAGAGAGTCATAGTCATATCACCTGGCGCTGTCAAGTTGAAGCATCAAGACGTTCCGCGAGATTGTGCATCGAGGACAGATTCTGAGGACCCGAAGATCTGTTTGGTATTCTTGTGGAGCCTCTTCTCAAACAATCTTGCCAGCACCACGACAAATCATCTGCAACAAGTCTTTCAGCTGGGACATCGGTGGTTTGAAGTCCATTTTCACATCCTGGCATCTGTAAGCCGCTGGGGCAAAGAAAATGCACTGCCACCCGATGATTCCAAACCACTTCTCTCTCTCTCTCTCTCAAATCCGGTGCAGGACATTTTGCAAGCCAAGGCTCATCCAAAACAGCCTGAATCTTGAAGAGTGGAGATGGCTCTGTTTTGGTATCACCTTATGCGGACTGCACGGTCAACGTCCATTTGCAAGCATCACAGCGATAGGAAGGCTGCGCAGAATAGAAGATATCATAAGGGATCACTAAATCACCTGGTTCTGCTCGACATTAAAGCACACATATATGATAATGATCAAATGTGCACAACTGATTTGATGGCCAGGCACCGTTCAAAGCTTTGCACAGATCCTGTAAACTCGTCTTCACAGCCTCCAAACAAGCATGCGTCCCCACCCATGTTATGCAAACGTGCGCCCTGTCAGAAAGGAGAATGCGACCATATGTTTATTCAAGTGCAATCTACGTACTGCAAGCCTGATTTTGTACATGTGTCTTACAATAATCTTTGGATACTATAGATTGTAATCCTGATGTTGTACAAGATCACAATAATGTATATGATCACTAAAATCACACGCCAATTACACAAATCACATTCTTATATGGATGGTTCCGCACCTTCCTCAAGGCCTCCTTGATGCTCTTGTCCTCCTGATCGTTTGATACGGAAGGGAGAGGTAGAGGGAAACGAGCAATCCATATAGCAAAGAACGATCAAGAGAGATCAAGAGCGATCACAAACGCAGGATTGCTACTTAAGCCCTCCAAATACCTCAAAAAATCGTACAAGTACTACTAAATTAAAGGGTAAAACGCCATCATCAACATGTTCCCATCAGTTCCCATCAGTTCCCATCCAGTCTCACCAGTCTCCTTGTCGACATAGCTCTTCCACTCTCGCTGGATGTCAGGCGGATGGCTTTCGAAGAAGCTGTAGGAACCCAGCATAAGTTCCGTGATTTTGCAGAGCGACTCAGCGGGGGCGACTGGCCAAACATGGCCAAACAGCACCAGATGCATTGGCTGATTGAAAAATTGATTTTCAATGGTGATACAATGGGATTTTCATGGATATGAACGGATATCAATGGGTTTTGTTTTCTCAAGCAAGTCCGTCGAATCAAATAAGACAGGACAATATGGTCTTGTGTGGTCTCCAGCATTGATAAGTAGTATAGACGCAGTACCCAGATATCGGCATGGAAGCCTCCATCTGTGCTTGCTCTGCTTTCCGGGTTCATACCGCAAGTGAAGAGTTTGAGAGGGGCAACACTGGTTTGTGAAAGCAACAAATAAATGAAACCTGTGACCAGCAAAGAACCGTACAACCACTCAAGATGCTTGAGCGCTCTGCATATCGTTTCTTTCGCAGGAGCATCCCACCTTGTTGAACTCAGCCTTGACTTCTTCCCGCCTGCGCTCCTGCGAATTGGAGGCAGCACAGAATAAAATGAAGCACGAGGTTTCAATATGTTGTAAATAGTATTTTAAGATATTTTAAGTTGCATGTATTTTTCTTTTCCAACCTTATCTGCCTCGACATGTGTACACACTTACGTCACACAGATCAAAGTTTGGCTTCCTGTACATCTCGGAACTCATCATCACGGTGCACAGTCTTCTTCTCGATCTTGATCATGTGCAGCTCTGATAGCTTCTTGCACACCTTTCAAGGGCACACAGGTTGAGTGCAAGGCTAAGCTTGCATGGCTACAGCCTTGGCTTGCGATATTTATGTTGCCATCTTTCAGATTCACCAAAAAAGGCCTGCAATACGAGCAACCAAAACAGTCCTGCAATACGAGCAACAAAGTAATGACAAAATGTCATAGCGATACCTTTAGCAGCTTCCACAGTCTTCCACAGGACGATTCTTGCATTCAAACATATCGACACGCTGAATTCAAGCGATTCACCCCAAGAATCTCTGTGTTGTTCCTCTTGAACTGCTTCACCCACTCATAGACTTTGGCACACTCCTTAGCAAAACAAGACTAGAATCTTAGAATGTGTGCTAGATATATCTAGACATGGTGAATTCTGTCAAGATCTGTCAAGTGTTGATATCAATTTGGCATAATTTGGCAATTCGCCGAGTTCGGCGGACCGTTCCCGTCCCGAGTTCCCGTCATCCGTCCCGGAATCCTTGCTGAAATCTCCAAGAGTCTTTGCAGCTATCTCGAACAAAGAACTCCTTGATGCCGTCAGAAGTCCAATTAAACCTGGCAGATCTGGCAGGACCATCATCCCAAAATCTCCCAAAATCTCCCAAAACTGCTTGGTGGTATACCTACCCTGAAAAATGATGGAGTGAAAGTCAATGGGAAGGATTATATATCCCATATAATTATGAAATGGAAAATAAAATTGATGTTTTCCTCTCAACCGCACCGCTGCCGACCCTGGGTCTCGCAGAATGAAAGAAATAAAACATCTTTGAAACCACCAACATTCAATCACCAAATGGTGATTTTTAGAAACATGTTTCAAAATCGGCGCATGGTTTCAACATGTTTCAAAATCACCATCACCAATAACCATCGTTGAAACCACCAATCACTTCACCGGAAAAACCCGGTAGCATCACTTAAAACCACTGCCGCGCAACTTGGTCAGGCCAGGTCCAATCTTCCGGTCCAAGGTGCGGATGAGATGGTTGAACAGGCGCCTTGTCATACGCCGAATTCCAACGGTGGTTTCACCATGAGGGTTTCATCGAAATGGGCTATGAATGGGATAAAAAACTGGGATATACCCTCTGGTAAACTAACATAACTATTGAAAATGGTGATTTATAGTGGATTTTCCTATTAAAGATGGTGATTTTCCATAGCTATCTTAAATTACCAGAGGGTACATACGAAATCCTCAGGCCATAATAATGGTCTGAATGCAGGCTGAATATTTAGCCTGAACCATTGTGTTTAGCCCGAGCTAAAAAAAATAGCCCGAGGCACTTTGCGCGAAAACTGCTGGCTCAATGGTATTGAAGTCCATTTCATATATTGAATGGCATGGATAAGGCGGTGCATAATTGAGAAATCCCAGAAGAAACTGTACCATAATATCATGCAACTTCCTACACATTAGCAATGTCAGAAGAACAAAGCAGCAGCCCGGTTAGCTGATAACTGAATAAATCTGACTGGTTTCCATCCAAACTATAACTTCGTATTCAAAAATCATTTTGTGACATGGTGATAGGTAATTAAATGTAATTCAAGCATGGTTTGAATTTCCCAAAAAAAAACATGAAAAATCAGGATTTGAACTGCAAAAAAAACATGAAAAATCTGAACATTTTGAGTTGCGGCATTTTTTGCCCGATTAGTGCGATTTGTTGCCCGAGTTTTCATGATTTTTTTTGGCCGTTGACCAAATTCAGCCCGATTTTTTCATATATGCAGGTTTGCAATTCCAAATCAAGCTTAAAATCGCAGGGTCCCAAAACCAATATAGTGGAAACAAGATGCGTCATGAACCTGTGCAAAGCTTGCAAAATATGTCTTTTACCACCAATACACGTCAAGCGTGCCACAGTCTGGTAACTTTTTGGATTCTTAACCATTGAGCTTATTGTTTGATCTAGTTCTACAGGACGAGAACAGGATACGGTAAGCATCGGGATGACCAAGTAATTCTTGAATTCTTCCCTGGTTTGAGCCTGATTTCTTACCAAATTCAGGTTGAGATTCAAACAAATCAGCCCGAAAATCAGAAAATAACCTGAGATCACCCTCAGACCGAAATTTCAGTCTGAGACCCCAAAAGTTTGTTGTTCCTCTTCAGGCTGAAATTATGTCCTTTTGGAGTTCCTAGGCGTATATATATTATATATATTATATATATATATTATATATATTTTATATTATATATATATATATATTATATTATATATATATATATTATATTATATATATATATATTATATTGTATGTATATAATACTATAAAATATTATACAACATTATACAATAATATACACAACAAATCACAACAATATGACAACAATATGGGTGTGTCTGAACATGGTGCTTCCGAGGTACCGTTCCTCGGGTAACAAGGCAGACCTGGAGTCTGGTTGCAGAGTGGCGTGGCGATCAAACATAGATGGTTTGATGTAGGATTTTCTGGAAATGTGATGTGGCAGTGTGTCAAAACCTTGTACCCCCTGGTGAACATCAAAATAGCTGGTAAATGGATGTTCATCCCCCTAAAAATGGTATTAATAGGTATTGATCCATACCCATGTAGAATCCATCCTATAGATGGAAATTCAAACATCTATAGATGGCTGATTTGTCCCAGCTATCTCCATGGAATTCGGGGATTTCCCAGCAATGTGTGATGATTTCCAGCAAAAAGTCATCAAAACATCCCAAAAAAAAAATCCCCAAACAATCATCGACCAAAATCATCAAAGAAAATGACCTTCAAAAATCTACACAAATCACAAAAAAAACATCAGCAAACACCAAACAAACATCAAAAATCACCAACAAAAACACATCATTCTCCTGGGTCCCTGACATGATCTGATTGTAGTCCCGCACCTCAGGGATGATGTCGAGAGGGCACTTGGACGATGGGAGTTTAACCATCAACTGCTCATGTGATTTAATAGGCTATTAGTGGGGATTTAATGGAAAATGAACATATACATATATACTGTACATATATACATATATGTATGTGTATTTATTTATTTAAGATTACATAAGATTTTATAAGGTAAAACAGAATTACATATTATCTATATAACATTATAAAATATTAGATTCCATTATAAAACATTATATAACATTATATAACATTAGATAACATTATATAACATTATATAACAATAAATACCATTGTATAACATTATACAACATATTTAAAAAAAATACAGCATTAAATAACGTTATATGAAATTAGCTAACACTAAAACATTATATAACATTATATGGCATTCAAACTAATATCTAACTAAAATTATTTGAAATTGCAAATAATTGTTTGGAATGAAACGGAATTATTTGGGGTGACATTGAATTATTTGGAATTAAAATTAATGAAAAGGAATGTTCTAGGAGTGTCCCTACAAGGAATGTCCCCCTCCATAGACAGGACATTAGATAAAACATGTTATAACTGTATATACAACAGTATATATCACAGTATATATAACACTATATATAACATTACATAACATTATTTAACATTAATTATGACATATGGATCTGTCTGAACTGGTTTTTTTCCCCCTCAAAATGGCCATACGGATCCCAGGAATCAGATCGGAAAATGGTGAGGTGTTTCGAGGATGGAAACTGAAGATGATATGGATGTTACTCAATGGTACTCATATTTACTTCCAGATATCTACTCCATGGCCATTTTCATGGCCATTTTCATGGATTTACTTCATTTACTTCCAGGATTTTCATGGATTTTCCATGGATATACTTCATGTTTCCAGGATTTTCATGGATTTGGTCCCCAACTTTTTCCAACTTAAAAAATCTCCGAGTCCGAGGCACCACTCGCAGCACGTGTTCGCGGAGCACCCGCAGCTTGTCACGGTGCCCGGCCAGCTCGTGGGCGGCATAGGGGACCACCTAGGGGCGATCCATAGCAAGTCATCCCATCCAGCGGATAAAAGATCAATGGATTCCATGGATGTTATGATTTTCATGGGTTTCTAATGAAAAAAGGCTATGGATATTGATGAATGCTAATGATGTTCTTCATGTATGTTAATGAACGTTATAATGGAAATTAAGGAATGTTAATGGATGTTGATGGGTGTTAATGCATATATGAATGGAAATATCATGGGAATATTATCGGAATATACTGGGGTGTTTCATGACTCAGTTTTCAAGCTAACTTGGGAGCCACAGAACTAGACTATCACCACCTCGTGGGTCAAATTCCACCCCGTGGACCACGGACCATTGATGGCCAAATAGAGAAAATGAGTGATACTGCTGCCTGCTGCAGCAAGAAATAGACACACTGCTGGACTGAGTTGGATGGCAGTACCAGTACTTTAACATAGCAACCTGTAGAGAAGCGAGCCTATCAACCTGCTTCGGTTCTCAGAATGTCTGAGTTCTGAGGTCCGCTACTATGCCGCTACCCTGGATCTTCTCCCAGTAATAGACCTGCTGGGCAGTGATATATGATATGGATGTGATGGGCTAAGGGATTCCAAGCTCATGGATTATGAGGGCCCGAGGGCTTCCTGTATCACCATGTAATTCTTTATACCTGAAAGAAAAAAAGCTTTGCAGGGATATAATATAATATATATATATATTATATATATAAATACTATAATGCTCCCTTGCCTCTGGTAAAAACACGTCTTATCTAAGACATCTCATGTTGAAAACTGCCCCCAAAAAAAACACAGCTGATGTGACGCAAATCGGACGCAAATCGGAGAGCGATTTGAAGCAGGGCTCCTCCTGGAACATCTTCAAGAGTTCCTTGTCGAAGTTGCACTCCAACAGACCACCCTTGAACTTACTGCTGATGGTCTCCTGCCACATCTCCAGGCGTCTCTTGAGCCTCCAAATATTGACAAATACCCCCAGAAGAATGGTTAAAAGATGTTAAAAAGTATGAAATTGATGGGGTAAAACACCATTTTTTAAGGCTACTAGCTAGGAGGGTCTAGGTCTAGGTAGATGTGACATGTGACGTGATGTGACTACAGTCCTCGGGCTTCACCAGCAAATTCACCTGGAGGCGCTTTGACAAATTCTGGTCATCCATACCTGAAACACGGCTGACAGCTTCAATGGAATGACTAGTCGAATATGACATGGTATGACATGGTATGACTAGATTGTCTTCAATCGCACCTGCGTATCGTAAGATATGGCAACCATATGCAACCATTATTTCCAGTCTCATTCCATATCCTTGCTGTTTCCGACAAGCAACTCTTGAGTTCCTGCACCCAGTCTTGGAACGTCGTGAGCACGAAGGTCTGTCCAGGACACATTCAACACAGGGACCAGCAGAGACCCTCTGAGACTTGACGTCTCGCTTACAATCTTCTTCATCCAAGTGCTCGCCTCCATGTTTCCGTGCAATGTGTTGAAAATGTCTCTGCAGCCTTCTTGTTCTCTGCCTAAAAGCATCTGAAGCTGTCAAAGCTTGAGATGGACGTAGCATGAGCTCCGAAACGGAAGACATACTCATTATGGTCATTGGTTACTTGTGAGCCATATTTCAAATAACACATGCGGCCAAGATAAGCTTCACGCAGGGCTCTAAGTAACAAAGCTGATCAAGTTCTGCCTCAGGCTCCAAAAATCGAGATCTCTGCAGAGAGTTCAAAAACCATCAAAAAACTGTGCTGAAAATTGGCACGGCAATGGTCAACACCTGAAAAAGGATGGTTTTTTTTTACTGAAAACATCGAGAAACAACATATCAACATAATAAAACCAACCAGATTTTCTGGGGTCCGTTGGTCTGTCCACCAAGACCAGCGCCATTTGCTGCTGAATTCGCAACATCAAACCACGCACAGCCAGAGCCTCATGTCGTGGATCGTCCAAGGGTTCTACCGTAGAACATTGGTATCTTAATGGGAACATTATATAGATTTCATATGATTTCATCATATTTCATTCATTTTTCCACTGGCAATGGAGGTTTCCAGAGGTTTCCAACTGTTTCAGACAGACCCAGCGTTCGCTGGTTCGCTGGGCCGCCGCACAGGTCCAGCAAATTGTGGGTGCCCTTGGATGATGGGCAACGTTGGTAACTTCCTGCAAGAACACCGGTGCCAAGGGAAGACGTTTCATGGGGCCCCAGGTCATCCCACCATCATTGGGGATTCCACATGTGGTAAAACACGAAAAACCCAGTGCCATAAATGAGGCTAACATTTGATGATGGATTTTTGCGAACACAAAACAAATCATAATACTGGGGATGGTTTACATTGTTGGGTTTACCACATTAATGGGTACAGTAAGCCCTGTAAATAGGGCGATGACCATCCCCTTTTATGATATTCCTGCCACCCTTGCTTGAAATGCAAACACTCTTCGCAAGGACCAACCTGGATCATGTGATTCCCTCCTGAACTGATCAAACTCTTTTTTGATGTTGTGGTTCAGCTCGTTCAAGAAGATGTTGTACAGGGTTTCACCCTTCTTCTCGACAAATGCTTTGACGCCTGAGTCGCGAAACATATGCGTATGTATGTAGTATTATAGTATAAATAATTGTGTATACTGTATACATAGATAGGTGTAATTACATCATAATATATGTATATATAATATAAATACACAGCATATATGTCACATATAATCACAAATAATACGTATATACCATATACATATATTGTATAGTTGTACATGTATTTGTATATGTGCAAATTGCAGTGTAGCGCAGCACAGTGTAGATGATGTAGATGGGTGTGTTGTCTACTAATGTCTAGTATTGATATGTTACGCCACTCAATGTACGTAAGCATATCCCCGTGGACCTAAGGGGGAGGGTTTCTTTTGGTTGTCCCAACCGTGCGTTTCGGCCGCTGCTTTTCATCTGAAACCTTAATCCAAAGCCCCTCCAAACCTTCACAAACAGCACAACGGCCTTGCTTAAAACCATTGGTTTTTAAGCGAGGAGTGGAAGGAAAGGAGAAGAGAGAAAAGGAAAAGGAGAGGTAGCTGAAAATAAGTGAAAATCAGCAGGTTGGACAAACCAACCAAAAAAAAAAGAATCCAAAGAGCAATTGCAAAATGAGTCCCCCCCCTCCGATTTCAAAATCAGGGCTAGGGGGATGTAAACATACAAAGGAGTGGAGCAACAAACACCCAGGGCTGAGGAACGGACGCTCTCTTTGTGCAAGTTGATAGAAGCTGTCGAGCACTTGACATGCTGTCCTTGTTGGGCAAGATATTGAGGACACAAAAGCCGATAACGTCATAATATCTCAAAATGCGCACGGTGAGAGGAGCAAACTGATCCGATTCTGTTCAGGCAAATATGAACAGGTGCATCCAAGCATCTGTACAGTTCCAACACCCTCAAAAGCACTGTTGATGACCTGTGGCGCAATCTTGCAAAATCATTGAGTCATAGACCTGCAAACAACACCTATCTCGAAACTACACCTACACATACCCACACACACACGTGCATCCCCCTATTCTGCAGGACAAGGGAACTACACTAACTGGAAGAACTAAATCAAACTGCAGCCAAGACTCATTCATGTACATCACCTGCCCAAGAGCTTCACATCACTTCAGGCTTTCAACATCTTTCAACAAAGGAACTCATTTCGTCTCCCTGCATCATCTTGACTCATTGAATGGAAGTAACTGAGCATATACTGAGCTGCTTTCAGCCTCCAAATCCCTCATCTGATTCTTAAATGCACCAAAATGATCTGGCCTCAGATTGCATGGGTCCAGTCGTCAGTTGCTATTAACTATGTAACTGGTCAGTCTCAGGCCAATCAGGGACTTGGTCTTGGGCCATTTTGGAGCGCGCACATCGAGAATATCATAGTCCACATACGGCGGCTGCAATCGCTGAAGATTTTTCAAGAAGTTCTCCTGGTTGAAGTCAAAACAACATGTGAACGCATAGAAATAGCAGACGCACAGCACACAAAATGAGGTGCGCACGGCACACAAAATGAGGTGCGGGATAATGCAGGAAGGAAATGCAAGCTTGAGGGATAGGAAATATAATACTTGGATACAAGTAGATACAAATATCATAGCTTAAAAACTGGTTGAAACGTAGGCTGTGCAGGGGGTGATGGGCGTTTGCCTTGCAGTCTGGAAACTACCTAAATCAAAGCCACAGCCGTCATACCATCATTCTACATGCATCTCACACATCTGTACGGTGAAAAACACATCTGTAAGTGGATCGCAACTGTAGCTTCACAGCGCTAAGGTTGTAGCATGTTTTTAGGGATTGGGGCTAAGCAATGTGTACCCGAACTCGCGCAAAGGCTCCTCAATCTCATTCAGAGAGTTGCTGATCTCACCTTGCAGAAGACTTGTTGCGGGTTGTTCTGATTCTTGCTTTCATGGCATATAAATTGTGTGTGTGTTTGTGTTTCAAGTATGTCTTATTTTACACCCCGTAAATTTCTGAACCCAACAAGGGCTATCTATCTATCTATCTATCTATCTATATATATATGTGTATCTCAATATCCAGTACACATATATCATAAACAAGTCATACAATCTAGGGGCCCATTCTTTGGTGGATTTTTTGCATGTGAACAGGTGAAGCGGTTGGGATTTCTGGTGACCTCAAGTTATCGCACCTGCTTTGGTCCCGCCGAAGGCTGGCATCGCTTGGCCGCGGAAGCGACAGGCGAACTGCTGAAGGCCTTGACAAACCTCCAGCAGATCGCAGCAGCGCTGCACAAAGGCATCGATCTGGAGAAAGATGCTACCTTCCTGGATGCCAAAGATGTTGGCTCGCAAGTGCGGATATGTGAACTTCTGTGCTAATGTCTGTATGTTATTATATTAAATAACAATATATATATAATTTAATATAGTTTGTTAGAACCATATTGCTGTATGTCAGATTGTGTATTATGTTTGTAAAGTTGGAATCGTGCTGGATAATTACGCAAGACATCACAAGCGCTTCGTTCTTCCGCACCAGGCTTATTCCAAACAATTTTTTTGAGGTTGGAATGAAAGATAATGAACTTTGAGGACTAGAGATTTAAATTTCAATTCAAGACTGCATCGTTCACAAAGTAAAAATCTCTTTGCTATCTGAGTCGCAGGAAAGGTCCATGGTCGATCCGTGTTTTTTGAAAGGAGCCGTACCGTCTTTTGATATGCTCGCTTCCACTCTCGACCACAGTCGATGCATTGCTGCAGTTTCACCATAGAGGTCTCTACTTTCCCAGCGAAAATGTCGGACAAATCGATGGTAGCTTGACCTCAACAATTTCACAGTCTGTGTTTAAAAATAAAAATTAAAAAAAACACGCCTGCTCAGTACTCGGGTAAAAATTGAATGGTTCAAAATGGCGTGTTTCACCTTCTAATTAAAAGTGTTTCGCTTCTCATGTTGCAAAGCCAGGAAGTGCAAGAGTACGAAAAATTGTTTTCTTAATTTACAGGCAACGTGCAAGTGCAAGTGCAAGATGTGCGCGTGCAAGTGCAACAGAACGTTATTAGCCCACCCCACCCCACTCCGCCCCACCCACTGACGTGCGTGTGCAAGTGCAAGAGAGCGTCCAATAGCGTAGCATGGCGTGCGTGTGCAAGTGCAAGAGAACATCCACAAGCGTAGCATGACGTGTGTGTGTGTGTGTGACTGTGTGTGAAAACCGTTATTTCATACAGATTTTTTTACAATAGTTCAACTAGAGCAGGGGGATCAGGCTTCCAGTGACTGACCTGATCCAACGAAGCTGGGTCACTGGAAGGGATGTGGTTTTAGGACGCTCAGCCATGTACCTGCTTCATTTTGAACTGTTTCGTTTGGAATCGTTGCTCAAGCTGTCAAGTATAGGTTGGCTAGGTATCAGGTTCAATTTACGTGATGTTCGACCATGACTGACATACCCTGACCTGAAGGCACTTGGGCACAAGGCGACCAGAAGTTCTACTTTCCTCATCAAGCAAAAACCTAAGCAGTGTGTTCTGGGTGCACTCGCTGACTTGTGAGCACCGTCGATCTGCTGCGTGCGGGTCTAGATCTGGTCATCCGGCTGGAAAGGTGGGACTACATCTGAACTGCGCCCCAATGGGGCTTGTGTGTGAAACCCGATATTTCACACGGATTTTATTACAATAGTTCAACAAGAGCAGGGGGATCAGGCTTCCAGTGACTGACGTGATCCAACGAAGCTGGGTCACTGGAAGGGATGTGGCTTTAGGACGCTCAGCCATGTACCTGCTTCATTTTGAACTGCTTCGTTTGGAATCGTTGCTCAAGCTGTCAAGTATAGGTGGGTTAGATTTGGTTAGGTATTCAGGTTCAATTCACGTGATGTTCGACCATGATTGACATACCCTGACCTGAAGGCACTTAGGCATAAGGTGACCAGAAGTTCTACTTTCCTCATTAGCCAAACCTAAGCAGTGTGTGTAAGTGCAAGAGAAGTGCACTAGCGTAGCATGACGTGCATGTGCAAGTGCAAGAAAACGCTATTAGCCACCCCAATGACGTGTGTGTGTGTGTGACCCATAAACGTGGACCGTTGCCGTGTACCGAGAGTACGCGACACCAAAAATTAAAGGACAGGATAACCCCACATGCCAACTTCTTCCAATAATGAGCAACAAATGTTGTAGCAGGACGGAGAAGGAAGGAAAGACAAAGGAGGTGGTGAAGGATCGAGAAGTAAAAACAGTTGGGTGGCACAAGGTTGTATGTGAAAGATGATGTCGTGTGTGACAAAGAATGTATGTATGTATGCATGTATGTGCGTGTATGTATGTATGTCTGTATGGATGTATGGATGTATGGATGTATGGATGTATGGATGTATGGATGTATGTGTGTGTATGCATGTATGTATGGATGGATGGATGGATGGATGGATGGATGGATCTATCTATCTATCTATCTATCTATCTAATCTAATCTAATCTAATCTAATCTATCCTAATCTATCTATCTATCTATCTATCTATCTGGGTAAATGATAATAATTCGTAGGTCGTTGGGTCGATTTATTTATTTCGAACTTGAAATAAGGTTTAGGTCGCATGAAATAACAAATTATTTTAGGTCGTTAGGTCGTTGGAAAGGAGAAACTGGCCAGGGGAATCGAGCCTGGCCAGGTTTCTCAAAAACGTATTTTTTAGACTTTTCGGGCGCGAAAAGCTCAAAAACGACGGTTTTGAGAAAAGTGCACCGGCTCGAGGCCCCTGGGGGGAATCGAGCCTGGCTAGGTTTCTCGAAAACGTCTTTTTTAGACTTTTCGGGTGCGAAAAGCCCAAAAACGACGGTTTTGAGAAAAGTGCACCGCCTTGAGTCTCCCCGGAGAAATGGGGCCTGGCCAAATTTCTCAAAAACGTATTTTTTAAACTTTTCGGGCGCGAAAAGCTCAAAAACGACGTTCAAAAACCGCTTTTTTGGACTTTTCGGGCGCGAAAAGCTCAAAAACGCCACGTCCATGTCGCCAAGTGCCACACCTGCCACGCAAAGTGCCGATCGATGTCGTATCCGTACCACGCCAACGCAAACTGTCGGTCGATGTCACCAAGTGCCACGCCTGCCACGCCAACAGCCGCGGCGACAACGGCGCCAAACGGAGACCCAAGCGCGCCACCAGACGGCGCCAAACGGAGACCCAAGCGCGCCACCAGAGCCAGTCCAGTGCCATAAGTGCCACGCCTGCCACGCAGAGCCACGGTCGATATGCCTGCCACGCCAACAGCCGCGGCGACATTGGCGCCAAACGGAGACCCAAGCGCGCCACCAGAGCCAGTCCAGTGCCATAAGTGCCACGCCTGCCACGCAAAGTGAAGGTCGATGTCACCAAGTGCCACGCCTGCCACAAGTTGTATGGTGACAAGTTGTGTGAGCAAGTTGCGTGTGGTCAAGTTGTGTGTGAGTAAGTTGTGTGAGCAAGTTGCGTGTGGTCAAGTTGTGTGTGAGCAAGTTGTGTGTGTGGTCAAGTTGTGCGTGAGTAAGTTGTGTGTGAGTAAGTAGGTTGTGTGTGGACAAGTTGTGTGTGAGCAAGTTGTTTGTGGTCAAGTTGTGTGGTGACAAGTTGTGTGTGAATAAGTTGTGTGTGGTCAAGTTGTGTGTGGTCAAGTTGTGTGTGAATAAGTTGTGTGTGAGTAAGTTGTGTGGTCAAGTTGTGTGTGTGAGTAGGTTGTGTGTGAATAAGTTGTGTGTGGTCAAGTTGTGTGTGAGTAAGTTGTGTGTGAGTAAGTTGTGTGTGTGTGGACAAGTTGTATGTGATGAGTGGGCGGGCGGCGGTCGGGCGGGAGAAGGCGGGAGTGCAGAACCAAAAACAAGAACCCCACACAAAGATGTGGGGAACAAACAGTAGGCCCGTTTGCTGATGCGAAGTCATGCAGATTTATGCAAGCCAGCTTTTGATTGGCCCTTTGGTCTGACTAGTACCTCCACTAGAGTGCATTGTTTGGAACATGCTGCGAGCATAAAGAATGCCACAATGCAGCCTCCAACTGCAACAGACCTTCAGATCCAGGATCTTATGAGCTCTGGCCATCTCCGGCCGTGGTCAGCAGTGGGTCATCTCGCCAAGTCACATCGCTTAATGATCTCGTTACTCATCTTGCGAAGCAGCCCGGAGATGCGGTCCTCTTTCTGATAGTGCGTTGATAGTGACCAAATCATACCTGCAGAAAAAAAAAAACTGGGACGCCAATGGGACATTGTGACTGACAAATATGAACACTTCAATGCTGGTGATGCCACGGCAAGCACACACTGCATAACAATGATTGACAATGTGGGAAGTGTTCTACCAAGCATGTCACTGGCTGAACTGAAGCAATTGCTCAGGATCCCATGCTGAGTTGGCAACGTACATAGTTCAAGAGCTCTGGCAGGATAGCAGGTATCTCTGGTGGCGTGGCTTCAGCCAGTTTTTCGCAAGGCTCTTTCAAAAAGTTCAAGAATCGCAGATTCTCCTGGAAAACAAAACACATTAGTATGGGTAATATGATCGATATTATATATATATACACATATACTCACTATACAACAATACTATATGTGTATGTACATATATACAATGTACATATATGCAATATATATATATATATGTGTGTATACATGCATATATATATATATATGTGTGTGTGTATACATGCATATATATATATACATACTATCTATACATACATGTATACATATATATACATATGTATGTGTATGTATACATATATATATATACTAATACACATGGGTATATTATATGTGTATATATATAATATATTTATTATATGTACAAACATGTATACATTTACATTACATGTATTCATTTTGAGTGGGAACCAACAACAGGGGGAGAGTGAAGATCAGGTCATGGCCTACTCATCCCATTGAGACCTGACAGTGATTCCCTGGATGCAAACCTTCCACCATCGTCCACCAAGCTGACATTGATTCCCACCAAATCGTCATTTTGCCCCAGGAAGTGTGGGTTATCACTACATCTACAAACTGCTGGGTATTTCATGAGTCACCACTTTGACTGACTCGAGGGCTCGAGGGTGTAGTGATTCCAAACCTATTTAGCCGTTCTGGGCCTGGCATGACGGGACTGCCATGTCCTTGGCTTCGATTGATCCATTCTTGATGTCTTCCTCCAAAGCTCGAAACTTCTTCAGCCAACCGGACTTCGCATGTTCCAGGACTGTCAGAATCTCTTGGAGTTTTTTGCTCTGCAACTGTTCATGCAGCCGCGACAGATTCCTCGCCCCGAGAATTTGGCAGTAGACCGACAGTTTGCGAGCTGGAAGCCATGGTCCATTTCGTTCGTTGATTTACCTATTCAAAATGGTGATGTTCCAGTTCGCAAACTGCAACAAATAACCAGAGGCTAAGAACTAGATGTCTGGTTTCTCAAGCTAGTTGTATCAGCTGCATCAGTTATGTCAAGTTAATTATATCAAGTTATATCAGATTATATCTAATACATTCTAGTACTATATTCCCATGATATTCCAATGGATTAGTTCTACCCCATCACCATCAACCGCTGAGGCTCTTGTCACGGGCGTTCCAGAACTCAATTTCATCCAGTGGGCCGTTGTTTTCGCCCTCATTGGCTGAATCCTTTGGCGGTCTCTGGCCCCAATGGCGAATGGCTCTGAATGGCTGGGCGGCCACAGAAAAATCTCCAACAGACCATTTTTTATAGGGAAAATGATCTCAAAATATGGGAAAATGGTGGATGAGTAGCCATTAAACTGCCATTTACTGGAAAGTTCATGATGATGGAATTTTGAGATAGCCTATTTTCAGACTGCTTGCGGAGCAGCGTGAGCACCTGTTTTTCTTGGGCTAAAAGAAACCTGCAGCAAGAAGTGGTTGTTACTCACTGCAGTCTTAGTTTGTAGTACAGATACTACACTTGTTCATAGCCATAAGGCCTGTTTCTGAAAACCCTTTTGCACTCCCCCTTTGGCGGACCGCCAAATCTCTATTCACGGAGAAGGCAACTACAGCCTAAAAAGCTGTCACAGACAAATCCTGCTGACAGATCAGAGGCTTTGCTCCTATAGATGGTGCAAAACGCCTACGTCGGAGTTGCACTTTAAGTGCACTCACATCCCTGAGGCCACCATCAAATTTCCGGGTCATAAAGACGAGACCCCTCGCACGCCTAGTGGCCTTAAACACTAGGCCCTTGGAAAATTTCTACGGCCAGTCAGGCCCAAAGCTTCTCTCAGCTGTGCTCTTCATGGACGAACTCCTCTTCCGCGCTGTAGTCCGGATCGTCCTCATGGCGTTCTTCTTCTTCGTTGTTTTCCAGGCCATGCGCTTCAGGTCCATCTTCATCATAACCTGCATCTTCTTGGTCCTCTGTGACTGGACCCTCTGCTGCATCATGACCTTCATGGTCTTCTTCAGGGATCACCTCGAGCTCCACCTCGACGTAGTCCCCATCATCACCATGTTCTTCTTCTTCTTCAATCTCCTCTTCATAGTTTTCGTCTTCAGGGTCTGCTTCGGGGTCAGATCCCTCATCATCTGCAGCTGCATCTGCATGAGCTCGGCTTGTTTTGCCCTTGCCCTTGGCCTGAAGGAAGTCACGGTAGGCTTCCAGACCCAGATTGGCAGCTCCTCTTCCCACTGGGGCTGCGCTTGAGCTCGAAGGTGCTGCGCTGGAGCTTGAAGCGCCAGTTGGCGGGTGTAGGATGGCATCTGCATCCAGGTACTGGTTCACCGCCACGGCTGCCTCTTCATAGGCTGCTTCTGCCCCCTCGCTGCCATTCCCATGGGTGGCCACAGCGCTTTCCGCTCGCCGGACTGCGGCGGTGGCCTGGCGCAGCGACTGCGCCAGTTGCAGTTCGGCCGCTGGGTTTGCGCCCTTGCCCTGCAGGACGATGCGGCCCCCACTGCCTTTGCCCCCTTGGTTGGAGACGCGAAGGGCCCTTGGCTGCTTTCCCTTCGCGTAGATGCGCTGCCATCCCGTCGTAGGGCTCGTCACGGAGTGGGTTATTGTGGAATCCTCACCCCTGGTGCCCTTGCCACGACGCTCCGGCCACCATCTGACCGTGTGGCCACGCCCCTTTCGGAGCTTCTGGGGCTCCCATGCAGAGCTCTTGCCGACCTGGAACTTATTCTTCCGTCCCGTCAGCTCATCGGATCTTCTCTTCATCCGATACATGAACTCCTGGGTGGCCGTTTCCTCCACAGAGTCCTCCTCATTGTCCTCGGCTTCAGGCTCAGGGCTTGCCCGGTCGTTGCGCCGTGGGTCATCTCTGTCCCCAGGGCCATCTCCACCACCGGCACCACTCGCAGCCATCGCCCCATGTTGAGGGTCCCGCCGAAGTTGAGGACGAGCTTTAGGGCGTAAAGCCATCTGCTCGTTTTGATCCCTGTTGGTTTCATCGTACTGCACATCCTCCAGGATCTCAGCCTCTGATGTGCTCGACAGGGTTCTCGACGGTGAAGGCACCCTTGGCGTCGATGGCGGAGTTCCCCCACATATTGGTCGATCGCCAGCCAACCTGAGGATTCTCTGTAGAAGAGATTCTCCAGCATCTTCACCTCTACCTTGTTCTTGTTGTTGTTCCGGCGGCGGTGCAGGAACTTCGCGTTGAGGCGGACTTACCATCCTTGCTGGTGGTGGTGTCGGCATTCCAGCTTTTGCCCTTGACTTCGCCATTGCCATCGCCAAGTCATGCCGAACCACATCGCCCGGTGTGCGAAGATCCACTTCAGGGCCGCCACGCTGTCGTTCCAACCATGCCGTCGCTTCTGCCAGTTCTTCAGGAGACCTATATCTCACTGGCCCAAGATCCAGCGACATGCTTTGTTGCGCTGGTGCTTGCCCTTGTAGTCCTGGATGAAAGCCTTGAGGTCCTCTTGGAGGTCCTTGGTGTTGTTGCCCTCCACATCCAGGTGCAAACCCTTGTTGTCCGTGAGGTGCTTGTGGTCCATGGTGACCTTGTTGCACCCCTTGCCAACGAAAGCCAGGACAACATCCACCTCTCCAAACTCCAGCATATCCCTGCGGAGGTGGTGCCGGCAAATCCGGCTGTGGTGGCGGCATCCCGTGCTTTGGGTCCTGTTGGACCGTTTTGGCCCTTTTGTCTTGCGGCTGCTCTTCATCCTTTTTGGGCATCTCACACTGCCATGGAGGTGCTGATGGCAACCTTTTCATCATCTGTTGCATTTGCACCCACTCCTCATCTGTAAGCGGTCCAGATGCCGATGCCGTTGTGCTCCTCAGCACTGCTTCTCTGGTTTCACCTCTTTCTTGTTGTAGAGCTCTGCGGGCAATTTCTCGATCCAGCCATGACCTCCGCAGTGTTGCTTGGCGCAAGTTCTCATTCTTCTCCTTGCGCTCCTTGTCCCATTCCTCGTAAGAGAGGATTCTGCGGCCTGCTGCTTTCGCCTCCGCAAACTGCCTTTCCGTCTCCTCCTCAGCAGCTTTCCAATCCACCGAAGATGGCGACTGCGTCCTTGGTTGAGGTTCTTCTGTCACCTCAGCTTTATTTTCCTCAGATTTTTTGTTCTCCTGAGGTTCCTTTGACTCTGGTAGGTCTACTTGTCCAGGAGGCTTCCCAGCTGCTTGCCGCTCTTGCCGCTCTCGTTGTAGACGTCGAAGGTACGCCATCTTTTCATTCCTTGTTTTTCCTGCGTTCTGCAACTCCTTGATGTCTTTCTCCAACTGCGTCACTTGTTTCTTCACCCGTACCCTGCGGTACTTCTTCAGCTTGGGTCCTTCTTGTTTCAGGACCTCACCTTTTTCGGCATCTCCAGGTCGTAGTGCTTCTCCATGTAGTTGATCTTCTCCTTGTTCAGATTTCCCAGCACCTAGTCCAGCACTGCTTGAGGCTTGGCCTTCCTGCGTCTGAACCGTCCGCACTGGTACTGCATCATCCCCTGAAGAGAAGCCCTTCTCATCGTCCAACACCACGCGCCTGATGCCCTCGTTTTCCTCATCCTGGGATGATTCTTCCACGCAGTGCCCCTCATCATCTGGCACCCGTGACACTTGCGATGCCGGTCTCAACATCACCAATGAGGGAACCGGTTTGAGACTCACCCTCTTCGGCTTTGGTTTCCCCGGGCATCTTTCAAACAATTCGCCACGGACATCGCGGTCTATTCGATCATCACGATCTTCTTGTCGACCACGATCACCTTGATCTTCTCCACCATCGCTCATCACCGCAAAGAATCGCAGAGCAGGTGGAGGTTGTCCGTCTATATTTGAACCAGGCCGCAACAAAGTCAAAACTGCAACCCGTTCACCATCAAAACTTTGCAAATCACCGGCAACATGTCCCAACGAAGTTCCCCTTGTAGTAGTACTCATGTTTTGGTTTTCTGAGGACATTGTGCTCCCTTTTGAGTAACCCTTTCTGTTTGGGGACATTTTTTGGATTACTGGCGCAACCCCGGAACCCTTACCTTTTCCACTCCAGCTGCTGTCCTCAAGTCGGTCTTGTTTGACCCTTTTGGTCCTCTTTTTGATCAAGCCCTTCGGGATGTCCATCAAATCCAAGCCCATCTCCCCCTCATCCGCGACCAGTCGTGTCGATGCCGAAGGCACCGACGATCCCATGGCACCATCAGCGGATGAAAAAAGAGACATCGCCCGAAGTTGTGGTCCCTGACCTTGACCACCAGGATCATCATCTTCGACGGGATCATCAGGATCACCCTCATATCGAAGTGCGCTCACTCTCGGCACCTCAGGCACTGATTGCAGCCTTCCAGTCACATGCACTGATTGCTCCTGCAGAGCACCTTTTGGTGGCCTTGACGACTCCACCCCATTGCTAGCACATGGTCGCGCCCGATCCGTGGATGGACATCCGGGGACGTGAGCTACTCCCCCATACCCTGGAAAGAAGCTCCGTGAGCCATTACAACCAAGATTTTCTTTTGAACCTTCTGCCGTGCTGGCTCGGCTTTGTGGATGGGGTGGATGTGCCGCTTCATCCAAAGTCCCTTTTGAGGTTTGGCCACTCTTGTGGTCCTTCTGCGGTCTTTTTGCCAGTCTTGTGGTCTTCAGACTCTTTTCTTCGTTTTTTCTCTTTTCATTCAGCTGAGGTTCAGACGCCTCAGCAAGATGTTCAACCCCTGGTAGCAGGTCTCCTCCATGATGTGGGTCGAAGTCTTCTTGTTCACGTTGAACTCCATGCCGTTGGCGGTACAAAGACACTGCCACCATAGCCAAGCCACCTAACACCAGTGGCTCTGAGTCCATCAAAGCTCCAACCCCCATGACTGCAGCTCCCACGCCCTCCAACGCTGTGTTGAAACCCGTTGATGCCGTGGTTGAGCTCGTCCACGAAGGGCCCATCACCTTGGAAACTGAAACCTCTTCATCTTCTGCCATTCCAATCAACCCCAAAAAACGGGTAAATGCTTGTCCTTGGAGTGGCTTTGTCAAACCATCGGCTCCCAGTTCCAAGCCCGAGCAGTGCGACACCGTCCATGGTTCGTCAGGGTCTTGCACCACTTCTCGCAACTTGGCCGACCGAAGTCTCAGATGTCTTGTCCTCCAAGCTCCTGTGTCGGAGGTAAGTTGGCTGATGCCAGACTTGCTGTCACCTTGCATGTGCTTTTTCACTCCCCCGTACCCAAGAACT